TTTATCTATTACTTAAATTTTAGATTCTTACTTTACTTTCTTTGTGATCATTTACGGTTTGGCAAGCAATAGCAATCATAACAACCAGCATGATGCAAAAGTTTTAAAAAGTTCAAAATTTTAGTGATTTTTATTGTCTTGAATTTTCAGGATGTTACACATAATATATACAAATATGATGCAATATGATTACTAAAACTAAAACAAATTGATACTTAAGAATTTTGAGCCTATAAATAATTGAGATTGCATGGTGTTATGAGAGAAGAAAGAAGAGACAATTTGAACCATAGATCTCTAGTGGCTAGAAATAATTGGGGTGATGTGGCTTAATGAGAGAAGAGAGAAATAGCAATAACTACACTTAGTGGGGATGAACTATATAAGTATATAGGATTCATGTACCAACTTTAATTGTTCCGTTGACGGCTAAGCTAATATGCAAATCAATCTACAAATCAATATGAGGCAACATAAGCGGTTTGGTCATGTACCACCGCCGCTCGATGGACAATCGATCGTGGCAAAAATTAACAACAACAAGCAATGGCGCCGCTGCCCGTGAGAGCAAGGCCAAGAAATTTCCAGAGGAGGACGTTGCCGTTCACGGACAGCCCCTCATCGGGGACGACGGGGAGGGCGATATGATGGCGGGAGCAGGGTTGGGATCGTGTGACCTCGGACTAAGCAAGCTTCAGAGGAGGGTGTATTCACGGATGACGTCAGGGACGACAGAGCAGCGCTCCCGGCCTTGGACATTGGGGAAGGACGACGGCGGCGCAACGAGGGAACGGCAGCGCGCGCGAGAGCACCAAGAGGAAAACAGCTGGAGAATTTTCATCCACGATAAAAAAAATAAATGGGGCTGAGTCCCCAGGACTGAGGGCTCGAGGAAGGGATTCGGGTGCCTTTCTAATTTGGGAACTTTAGTAGCGGCTTTGCTAGACTTTGATTTTCTCTCTTCTCCTTAAAAAATTGTTTACGAGTTTAGTATAGGTGTTCTGCTGGAGTTGTTCTATTAGAGAATATGAAATGGTTAACAGTACAGTACAATAGAGTACAAACTAATTAATGTTCTGTACACTTACTACAAGCGAGAACAAGAATGTGGGACACCTGATACGAAAAATGTGGGACATAAAGATTTACCTAGATAATGATAAATTAGTATAGTAGGAGTACAGTACATATGCATGTTCTGAACAAACACGTATGACACTTATTACAAATGACCGACGGCCGAGGATACTAGAGGACGATGAAATTATTACATCATCTTACACCATGCTAACTTGTTGAGGGTTTGTATGTTTTAAGAGAGCAACTCTACTTAGTTCTTAGCCTCGGTTTAGTCATTTTCGGTAAGCCATGTGTATCCCATTTGTGAAGGAAATCACGAGCAAGGGAGGCCAGTCACATCTCACGTCACATCTCACGACTTCAACGTCTTCGACATTGATACGACGAATCTTTGAAACAAAATAATAAGGTAAGTTAATGATAACCAAAACATGTGCTAGATAGCTACTTCGTTTTTACACAAACATATTAATTAATCCATATAATGCCTATCTAATTATCATCTTCCTTAGGTTTTGTAAGTCTCTTACAAATCTCCACCCATACCAATTGGATGATGAGCCACTCGCCATAAAAACAAATCAAACTCCACACACAGAGGACGAAGGAAAGATATCCAAAACAGCCACAAGGTGTGAGGAAGGAGAGAGATCGAGCGGAGGGAGGAGAGAGATCGAGATTAAAGAAACACACAGCGGAGGGAGGAGGGAGGAGAGAGATGGAAAACTTGCATGGTCTCGTTGGCTTTTATAGTGACGACAGCCTCTCTCACTCTATGCAGTGTCTCTTTCAGTAGAATATCTTTATGTACTTTAAATTCACTAAATACTAAGACTATATTAGTTAAACCGTCTTATACATGAAATTTCACTCATGAAAATATTAAAAAACAACAACACTTTTAAGAATTAAACAATATCATGGAGGGATTAACAAGAAGAAGTGTCTTTATACTAAACTAACACCGACCTTTTTGTCCTAAAATAATTCACTAAATACTAAGACTATATTAGTTAAACCGTCTTATACATGAAATTTCACTCATGAAAATATGAAAACAACAACACATTCAAGAATTAAACAATATCATGGAGAGATTAACAAGAAGAAGTGTCTTTATACTAAACTAACGTTGACCTTTTTGTCCTAAAATAAAAGAGAATTTTGGAAATTTATTTACATAAGAGGAAAAACTATGATGTCTCTCATTAAATAATTAATAAGTAGTATGTTGGGGAGTAAGAAGGTAGCTGGTTGTGGGTATGATTAGGTAAAAATTAAATGACGAGTGGTTGAGTGGGAGAAATAGTACTATAGATCCCTTTATATTGGAGGATAAAATTTGAATCACGCTATCTTATATTTTAATATATAGGATGGAGAGAGTAGTGTATTGTCTACTATATATATAAAAGTCAATTAAACATTTTTTTGTGAAGCAATTATTTCGAACTATTAGATTATCTTAAAAGAGAGCGATCCTAAGAGGCCACATGCCAACTTGCGAGGACACTATTTTTCAAGTTGTAATCATCTGATCTACCTTAAAGAAAACAAAATATCTCCATTAAATACTCTCTAGAGTTTTCTAAGCCAACACATGTTAACTGGTGAACCCATTATTTTCAACCATTAGATTTGTCAACTGGTGGCACAAACTGATCGCTTCTGCTACTCCTCTGGTGAAGTGTTCTATGTTGTCTGCCTCTGAGGCAAACGGCAAACTTTGCCTCGGTGGCGAATGCTAGGAAGGATGGAGGAGCCCGCCTGACACTGTGAAGAATATGGAAGGAAGTGAAGCAGGGGGCGAGCCGGAAGCATAAAGTTCGAGGAGGAAGAACTAAGGTGGCCTACCATGACTCCAGCACAAAGGCCTAGGCCAACCCACGAACTATCAGGACAATGGCATGTAGACTCCCGCATAAGGAAAATAACATGTATACCCCTGTGACTTTTTTTTGGGAATTAATACATATATTTACTTTCTTTGTCCATAATTAAAAATCACTGTTGTACAACAAAGAAAATGTTTCACGATATATCTACCCAATATCATTTTTATATATTAAATTCTAAGTTTGATATCGTCTATGTGATAATAAGGAATATAGACCCAAAAAAAGCATAGAGACAAAAAAAAAGAATGTTCTTGTCGATAATTTGAAAACATCTTACCACAGAATCGATGTGAGGTTGATACTACTACTATTTATTCTTTATTGTCACACTCTCGCTCATGGTAATGGCTAATGGGCGACCGTGTGCAACAAAATTAGGGTATATTGAGATCTGGATTTTTCACATTTTGGTCCTTTTAAAAAACTTATTTCGCAAATAGACCCCTGAAAAAACTTATCCCAGAAATGGTCCTTTTTGGGGCGCCAGAGTGGCTGGCGCCGTCATCCAATGGGACGGCGCCAGCCTCTCTGGCGTCGTCCTCCTGCCACCGTGGCACACGCGAACCGACGTGGCAGGAGGAGGGCGCCAGCCATGCTAGCGCCGCCACAGGGAGGAGGGCGCCAGCATGGCTGGCGCCGCCGCCTCCATTCCTGTTTCTCTGTATGGAGTTGCAACGGTGTCATTTTTATTTTATTTTTTCGGATGTTTTTTCACACTCAGGATCACGATACAACCAACCACAAAAAAAATTTAAACTCGAACTACCACTTAGCTAAGTCTGAAAATATCTAGCATACCACTTAGTCTACTTTGCACCTTCAATAAAATTAGACCATAACTCTTTTAGTAAAATCCTTTGATCAGCATGTTAAACATAATACACTCTACCACTATATGAAATTACTTAATCTAATTCAAAATATAACCACATGAAATGACATATATAAGTTAAACAGTACATAGAGATGCAATTTTTTTATTTTTATTTCATTTTTTTGATATTTTTTCACACTTAGGAGAACATAGGAACCAACCGTATAAAAAATAAACTCAAACGGACAAAATATGTGACATGTAGAATTTTCCAAAACTCTACCGAAATGGACAAAATATGTCATCTATTAAAATAAGCATAACTTTCTCATACGGACTCGGAATCAGGCAAATAATATATGCACGGACATCTACAGAAAAAGTTACATCCGATTCTCCCCCGACCTCCAAATTCCGCTTGCAAGATTGTGTTTTCGAGGAGAGAAGTTTTTCAGTGGAGCTTTGGAAAATTCCATATGCCACATATTTCGTCTGTTTGAGTTTATTTTTTACATGGTTGGTTCCTGTGAGTTACTAAGTCTGAAAAAAATATCAAAAAAATAAAATAAAAATAAAAAAGTTGCACATCTCTCTCCTCTGCACTAGTTCGGAGAGAGGAGAGGAGAGGAAAAATTCTACATGTCACATATTACGTTCATTTGAGTTCAATTTTTTTATGGTTGGTTCTTGTGTGTCCATAAGCGTGAAAAAAATATCAAACAAATAAAACAAAAATAAAAAATTTCGGGGGGGGGGGGGGGGCGCCAGCCACTCTGGCGCACTCCCCCTAGCCACCTCAGCATCGCCCCGCCACGTCGGCAGGGGGACGACGCCAAAGAGGCTGGCGCCGTCCTGTTGAACAACGGCGCCAGCCACTCTGGCGCCCCAAAAAGGACCATTTTTAGGATAAGTTTTTCTAGGGGTCTACTTGCGAAATAAGTTTTTCAAAAGGACCAAAATGTGAAAAATCCAGATATTGAGATCATATTTGGTACAATTCTAGATTCAAGATTTTTGGAAGCCAGATATTCCTAGCTTTACAAATCCACGAATCTGGATATGTGATTATATATATTGATAATATTTGAATGAATCATGTTGTTGTTAATTACTTTAGAACAAATATAGAATTTTCAACCAATTTAATTTAACTTATAAAATCTAAATCTGGTGTGGGTATGAGATCTAGAGCTGTGCCATACGGGATCTGAATACCCTGACAATGAGAACATAATATGTATTCTCTTATTTATTTTGTACATACAAACTATACTACAAGAACGAGAGCTATGCACTCAGCGATGACAAACTAACGAACAAATAACAAGTATATACACATATATAGCACATACGATGACGACGGAGAGGTATATATCTCGATGGGCTAATAATATATACACACGAGACATCAACATGCAAGATGCTTAAAGGTAGCAATGCACGAATGGATGGGATGGATTAGTGGTGGTGGTGGGCATGGCGGCGGTGCTTCTTGGCTTCCTTCTTCTCGTGGTGCTCGTGGAGGGCGAATCCGGCGCTGCCGACGGCGACGGCGGCGGCGATCCCTTCCTTCATCTTGTGCGACCGCGCGTGCTCCGGGTCCTTCTTCGCCTGCTTCTTCTCATGCTGCAGCACACCATGCATACAGATGCGTCAGATCATTAGCAGTGCTACTACTAATTAATTAATTAAGATCATTAGCTAGCTAGAAGCTAATTAAGTACGTAGAATCAAGAACACAATGTACGTATATGTACCATGGCGTATGCTCCGGCGGCGGCGGCGCCGAGCTTGGCGATCTGCTCCATGTGCTTGTGGTGCTTCTCCTCCTTGCGATAGTCGCCGGCGTCCTTGGGCGCCGCCCCGGCTGCTGCCATCTTCTCCTCGTTCTTGTGGTGGCCGAACATCTTGTGTACGTACGTACGGGGAAATTTAGTTAGCTAATTAACCAGGAGATCAATCGATCGATATGTAGGCAGATTGATGATGCAGGTGTGGTCGATGAGATGAGATGAGATTTTGGCAGGGGTTAAGATGAGTATATATAGGAGCAGGATGGCGCGTAAATTATTAATTGCAGGAATTAGCTACTCGGCCGTACGTTAATCCGTTGAAATGATCTTCATTTGCTTACGCGGGCAGGGCAGCCGATTCGATCGACAGTGTGGATTGGTGGATTAGTTGGTTGCTTCAGAGCGAATTATCCAAGAGGATCGAAGCTTACGAGGAAGGTGCATAAAAAAACATACTAGTACTAATATTGCATTAGCTTCTTTTTTTTTTATCTCTATTGCCTGGACTCTTCAAGTGGATTGAAGTACGTCTGAAACATCCATCACAAAAATTGACAGGTATAACTACCTGGTTGAAATAGCTACTGCTGGAAATTAAAGGAAATCGGCGGCTCGACGCGGTTAAGCATCCACAGAAAAAAAAACTGATATTATTAATTAAACTGATGTATATATACAAGGGGGGAAACAAAATTGTCCCCTTTCGTTAGAATGGATATGATGGATCGATGGCTGGGCCTGGGAGATTAAAGCACGGCCACACGTACGTAACGTATACGTACGTACAACGTATATCTGGGCCGGCTTCCTGCTGCCTTCGTATACCCCGGCCATACGTGTTACGTGTTGTGCGCACAAAATTTGCTTGATCGCGTTTCGCGTCTATACGATGATAAGCGAGCGAGAGTCAACAGAAATGCGCGTTGCTAATTCTCGTTTAATCAATCGATTGCGTGCATGGAAAATTTCAAGTTTCAAGTTAGGAGTAATTTGCAGGCCGACATGGCCGTGTTCGATCTTGCCCGCGTTAATTAGCAAACACTATATATAAGGACAAGCATGCAGGGCCTCTCCTTCCATCCAACCATCACACACAGTTAGCATATCAGTAGTCGTTCACAGTTAGCATATCAGTGCATCATAAACTTGACCTTGGCTCGATCGTACAATCCATCACAACTAAAGATAGTGGAAATGGGGCACCACCACAAGAACGACGACAAGGCCGCGGCGGCGGCCGGCGGCGACCACCGCAAGGAGGAGAAGCACCACAAGCACATGGAGCAGCTTGCCAAGCTCGGCGCCGTCGCCGCCGGAGCATACGCCATGGTACTTACCATTTTCAACTAAAGATCGATCCTAAGTGCATCCATGAATTGTACATGTTGGTGTGCTTTTGATGCATGCATCCCAATGTCAGTTTCTTAACTTGTGATTTGATGATGCGTGTGTGGGTGCAGCACGAGAAGCACAAGGCGAAGAAGGAACCGGAGAATGCGCGGTCGCACAGGGTGAAGGAGGAGATCGCCGCCACCATCGCCGCCGGCAGCGTCGGCCTCGCCATCCACGAGCATCACAAGAAGAAGGAAGCTAAGAAGCATGGCCATCACCATTAGCTACCTACCCTATCACTACTTACTGGACTAGTGTGTCTATTTATTTGATTATTACCATGCATGTACTCTTAGCTAGCATATCGGCTGTATTTTTGTCGACGGATACATGTACATCATCTATCTATTTTTCTTAATAATAATGTGATTGATTGTGTTACAGTTAATGTATGCGCTCATGCCATTGCGCAGGAACAGCTAAACTTTAGGCAGTAGAATCTTCTCCCGCAAAAAACAGTACTCAATGATTTAGTAGCCCTCGGAAAAATTACACACGTTGCAACAAATAAACGAGGAAAATATATACTGCAAACTACATATACAATAACATAGAAACTACCATTGGATCGAAAAATAAACGTCTAATATTCGTTCACGTCATCACGAGAAAATTTTTTTACACATACCTCTATTTTTCGATCCGACGATAGCTTTCAAGTTTCCGCTGCATGTGGTTTCCACCATACATTATCCCAATAAACATGCAGCACCCAAACCAAAGCCGTCACTACCATGCAGCTGTGTTTTTTTCCATTCAGTTCCCAACTCACCTTCCTTGTTTTCTGCGCGCACGCTTTTCAAACTTCTAAACGGTACGTTTTTTTACATAAATTTTTATCCGAAAGTTGCTTTAAGAAAATCATATTAATCCATTTTTTTTAAATAGTAAATACTTAATTAATCATTAGAAAATGTGCCACTAAGTTTTGCATGGGCGGGAGGTGAGTTCCCAACCTCACCTTCCGAACACAGCCGCTTGCGTGTGCGGTAGTCTTCTTGCAAACGCGATCAAACATTAAATTGCACATCAAAACAGCGCCCACCATTGCCCACCCTTAAGAGAAGTAAACACAACATCGAACAGCAAGGATCAAACATAAGTCGGAACTTCTTCGAACGATAACAGTATTAAGAACAAGTGTCACCACAGAATATTCAGGTTCGGAATGCAAGAGTCACGAAGTTAGAACAGATAATACTGAAGAGCTACATAACCAATGCCAACAAGAGTCTGAGTAGACAACTACAGATCACAGACTAGACTCCACTGGTAATCTAGATTAACTGGAAAGCTTTTAAGCAGAGTTCTCTGTATCCCCTCAAACCAACCGCTTGAGCTCTCAGAAAGACACAAGCACAGGCAAACGATAGTGATAGTCAAGAAACAAAAGAAGTTTTACCTGCCAGGAACGCAATGTCAGGAGTTCTACCTGCGCCTCGGGGAAGGTGAGCTGCTGCTCCGGCTGTCGCTAGAGATGCTTCTTCCTCTACGATGCCTGAAAAACATTTGCGTATTTTACACTAGAATATCTAGACAACGCAAATTGCATGAGAATAAATGCAAAACATTAGGTGACATGTTACCTTGGGGGGGTGCGGCTCCTTGATACCCTTCTTGGTCCCTATTCAAAGGAAAAAACATATTAGCATATAACCACATTCTATGATCAGAATATATTAAATAATTGCACAACCAAGAGCAGAAGCAAACATCAGAGGATACTCCCTCCGTCCCAAATAAGGTTATCATTATTTGAATGAAAGTCAATCTTTGTAACTTTTGAATAATAGTTAAGCTACCAAAATATATGCTTCGCGTCACGCATGTGATATCATTAGATTCGTATTTGATAGTACTTTTATGTGATTTTAATTTTGTAGTAGTTTATAATATACTATAAACAAAATTAATGGTCAAAGCTCTACGCTGAAGACTGTAAAAAACTTATACGCCTTATAGTTTGAGACAGAGGGAGCAGACATTCTCTATACAAGTCTACGAATAACACAGCAGGTTCAGCATTTACCTTTCTTGGAGGACTGGGTGATCGAGAATACGATGAATCAGACCTTCCACGCCTCAATGGAGGTCCTCGCCTGCTGCCGGAGAGAATTAGAATACAGTATCAAAGAGACGTCTATTGAAGATTTTAGAGGCAGTATGCACACATGTATGCGAGTGAATTTTATTACGTTCGAGGAGAAATTGATCTGGAACGTGAATGAGGGGGACGACGAGGCGGGGGAGAACGGCTATGACGACGTGGAGGTGGTAGCCTTCTTCCAGGAGGGCTTCTTGGCCGCCTTGGGGGTGGTGGTGGTGACCTGGAGAAAAGAAAAAAATATAACAATGGTTACAGTTGGAAATGAGAAGGGCACACACTTTTCAGACAAAACAGAAATAACAGATCCAACACATAATATGGGTGAAACAAGTGAAGGAACATGCACATGTAAGTTTTAATTTATATAGTGTATTATATTACTGGATGAGACAGGCCGATTACATAAAGCATATTCACAATAGCCAAGATTAAAGTGACTCACCGCCGTCTAATGGGCCCAGGGGAGCGTCTGCGTGGTGATGGGCTTCCACGAAGCCTCCTAGGTGAAGGACTGTTGTTGTGAGAATAGTGTCAGGAATTCCAGTCACAATACCCAAGATATATATGAAAGAAATCGAGACATTGCTCACCGCATTGGTGATCTACGCCTTCTAGGTGGTGGAGAGGGAGAACGCCTTCTCACTGGAGATCCTGGTCTCCGACGAGGAGGTGTGTCACCACGCCTGACAGGCGAAGCATCTGCTCGACGACGAATAGGTGGAGAATCAGGACGACGCCTAGGAGATGGATCAGGTTGCCGCCTGGGAGATTCAATCCTTCGGTTTGGAGGAGTTCTTTTGCGTGGAGGTGAAGCTGGCTTCCTTCGTGGGGATGCTGTTGACAAGGTGGTATGTTATTAAATCATCGAAACTAATAACATGGACCCGCAAACTTAAATCTAGATTGAGCAAAAGCAACAATCAGAAGATAGAAGTGCCTACGAAAGAACCAGAATACCAAGCTACTAATACCATCCATCTGACAAAATCACACTGTGCTTTAGAAGCTTACGTTCCCTGCGCTGCTGCACATCCTTTTCAGCACTAGGAGCGCCTTTCTCATTATGAGGAACATCTCTTTTTGGGGGAGGGGGAGGCGCCTTCATTGGTGAAGAAGCCCTTTGCCGTGGTGCAAGTGTGAATCTCAACTTCACAACATTCCCATCAATTTGACCCTGCACATGTTTCAGCTTTGAAGTCAGTGATCACTTGTTTATCAAACAAACCAAACAAAAACACAGGGCAGAAAACATACGCCGTCCATGTAAAGAAGAGCTTTCTCAGCATCAGTTCTCTTCTTGAACTCAATATATCCATACCCACGAGGAAGGTTGACCTAAATAAGAACACGATGAGTATTGATGCCAACAGGAGGTTCCTCTGATAATGTGAATGAAATGCAACCCATTAACTTACCATTCGATCCATGGATAGCTCCACGTTAACCACTTCACCAAAGTTTCCTGAAAGACAAAGGCTAGTCAGCCAAATATTTCTGGTGGTGTTCATACAGAATAACTGAAAAACGAAGCGATGCTATCATGCTTTGTTTCTGCAAACAGCCAACCATGACATCATGCAGCAGTACTTGTAATGGTTATAGTGAAAATAGATCTCTAATTATCATGGGGTTACTAGGAGTTCAACTGTGGTTGTCAACCTGCAGCCCAAGGATGATTTGCTGGTCCAGGAGGGGCATAATGCTATGCACAATGAACCAAGCAGCACAAACTACCGAAATGAGGCGGATCTGATGCAAAGCTAACAAGGCATCCAGCACAACCAGTGCATAGCAATAAGCACAGAGAGGACAACATCCAGGAGAAAGTGTGGTGTGCCTAGGGGCTAGGAGTAATAACTGAAATTTATAGTTTAGATTAACTATTTGCATGTTTTACCAGGACATGGAATCAAGAGTAGACTCAATATATAGTAAGATTGCAAGAAAAACACCAATACGAATCTACCAGCAAAAAGGCCAGTGTGATTAGCACTTGACCAACCTTACAACTGGATACTCTCTCAATACAGGGTTCAGGTAAAAAACATAAACCACAGAGCATACATTAGATATTTAAACACACACAAAATGCACAATGCCAACAGTTCTAACAGAGTTTGTAAGGACATGAGCTAGCTTATCTCAGTTAACTATCAGAAAAGGAAAATATTTTCAATGCAAAGATAAAATTAAATTTGCCCTCAAATGCAGAGTAATAGTATCCAGCTCCCAACAAGAAATCACATTGACACTAAACTTCCAGTAGGAATTATTCACATGAAAATCTAAGGACAAACTCACCGAATATCTCTTTCAAATGAGCTTCATTAACATTCCTGGACAAATGATCAATGTGGAGAACAACTGATTCAGGAGCAGGAGATGCTTTCCTGAAAAAATAAATAACCACTATTCAATATTGTAGGATGGAGAGGACAAGAGAACAGCGCATGTTGTAACGTTGTTGGTTTCAGAATAAGGCATAATTTTTTTAGCAAAATAAAAAAGAGGGACCATAAATCACAATTGAAACATGACGAGCAAATAGCAACATAGAAGCCAAATAACAAAAAGTATCAGAAGCTACAGCTATTTGTAATTTGTTAACCAAGGAGTTCAAAGCTCGAAACACGATAGATATTACGACGAAAAAATATTGATGCCCAACAATTAATATTATATGCATACTATTATAGTTGTTTCTGAATAAATACTTCAAGTCAGATAAAACATTAGCAAGCTCAAACTTCAAACAGCATGTCTATAAACATATAAGCATTAAAGCAGTGTATAACTGAACCTAGGAGGTGAAGCCTTTTTAGGTGGTGGTGGTGATGGTGAACGCCCTTTCTTTGATGGCGATCCTCTCTTAGCAGGGGATGAAGGAGATCGACCTCTCCGTGCCCCAGGTGAGCTGCACATATAATATCACCCATATGTAAGTGAGGGAGAACAAAGATGACAAGCAAATTAAATTGAAAACCACCAATGATCCAGGTTAATGAAAGCAGAAAGCATGAAGGGTACTCAAGTATCTTAGTGCACACTCTAATGGAATCAAAGTAACAACAATGAAAGGAAATGAAAGCAGAAACAAGAACAAAAAACATGAGGCGAAATGAATTCACATACAAGGAGATAAGTTTCAGAAAGATAAGTTTCCTATGTAACCTATGTATTATAGAGCAAGTCTACTGCAGGGGGTACAAGACTGTACTGTCATTCATTGTAATAAAATATTCCCTCAGTTACATAGTGGTTGCTCGTAGTCTTCGGAGACACGGTTTCGTGATGTTTGGACATGATGGAAATCAAGACTAAGCCAATCTTAAATGGTTAAACTACGCCTATACTGTTTGACGCATACGCAACAGAATAAATACCTCTAATCCTCTATGTACATACACATATTGCAATATGTACCTAGAAAAATTGGGTCTAAACAATGTCCAATACCATCTTCAACTTCCTAAATAGGTCTAAGGAATAACTAACTACCAAAGCTACTATTGAGCTCCTGTTGTTTTTACAAAAGATATGCAGAAATTACTAAATCTAACACAATGCTAAAAACTAAAAAAAAACACTATCGTACTTGACGGCACCATCGATTGCGCAGAACAAAAATCCAAACCTAAAACACCCCCAGACCGAGAGCGGCAGCGTGCATTCGCAGCTCTGAACAAAGCACGCCAAGAATACAAATCTAAAGACGTAAGCAGATGGCATCGCGGGGGAGAGGCGGGGGGTCTCACCTGGCCTTGGCAGCGGGTGGGGAGCGGCTCCGTGAAGGGGACGACGACGACGAGAAGGAGCGGGAGCGGGAGCGCGACCGGGAGGAGCCGGAGCCCGAGGAGGCGGAGCGGGACGGCGAGCGAGAGGAGGATCCCGAGGAGGAGCGCGAGGCGGAGCGGCCGCGGCGCGGCTTCGCCATCGTCTCCGGCGGCGGAGGCGACCGATGGGCGGGTTTGGGGGCTAGGGTTTTGGTCGGGGGTCGTCTGAGGGAGGGGAGATAGCCAGATGGCTGATGCGTTGTTTATCAACTCGGGCCCAAGCTTCTACTGGGCCCACCTGCAGCGACTCAAGAAAGTTCGTGGGCGTATTTGCTTTTCGCTTGGATTTTTGTAGGGACCTGCTTAGAAAAAGTTGGCGAGGTTGAATTTTGCGCAAAATTTACAAAGGGCATGTTTAATTCCTTGGCAAAAATTTTCACCCTGTCACGTTTTGAATATTTAGATACATGCATGAAGTATTAAATATAAACGAAAAAATAACTAATTACACAGATTGCGTGTAAATTGTTAGACGAATCTTTTAAGCTTAATTGCTCCATGATTTGACAATGTGGTGCTATAGTAAACATTTGCTAATGACGGATTAATTAGGCCTAATAAATTCATCTCGCAGCTTATAGGCGGAATATGTAATTTGTTTAAATACAGCCAAAGTTTAGCAGAAAATCTTGGAAAAAGAATCTCATATTCCTAACTGAATGTGCTCACTTTTGAAAAACAAATAAGCAACGTTTTAGAATCGCATGTTCTTAAACTACGTCTACTCCATTAAATAAACAGATCTATTAATTGTAGGCATTGCCGATACATTACACTTCTGTAAAGTATGACAACGCGGTAAGTCTGATTTGAATTTTTGAACTTAGAAAATATACCTTTTCATTTTGGCTAAATAAATTGGGTACAACACACACATTCTTGATTCTTGTCGACCTGGAGCTAAGGAAGATCACTTGCTAGTAGAGTAGTAGACGCCAATGTTTGATCAGAATATACAATTGCTGGCATCGTTAACTTTCAATTCAGAAGTAAAGCCATCTTTCTTTCTTCAGTTTCTACAGACACTATCAAAGTACATAATACGGTGAAATTATACACATTTTCAAAAACACTCCATGAATCATGATCTTACTCTGCCTTCATTTTCTCACTTATGAGCTAACACCTTTCAAAAATCTTGTAGAGTTTCTCCAAGGAAGCAACCTGCATAATAAGTTCAAAATCAAAGTCAGAAATTAGCAGATGTTATCAACTTATCATCAGTAATTGTGATTCGTAATTCTACTTGTTAGAACATATATTCATTTCATTTCTTTTTATGTTTTAAGTTGCCTACAGAAAACTAGATGATCTTTTTAAAGTACCGTTACAAGTATGTGGCCTGGACTTCAAGACATTGCTGCTTCTAAAGTATCATTTTTCTGTTTGTGCAGCTAAAATTTAAATATTTTCCAATTTAATTTCTACTCCCTCCATCCAAGGTAGGCATATTTTGGGACGGAGGGAGTATCAAATAATTCACAACACCATTAGGTTTTTGAACAATATAATGCCAATGCTTGGAACAGTAAGCATAAAATTGTAGAAGCATGATAAGAAAATTAGGATGCCAAAATGAGCTTTTAATTTTAAAAGTAAAGTTTCAGTGGTTAAGCCATATCTATTTTAATTCAAAAAATAGAAGCACATATGTTTACTAAAGATCAGAAGGAACCTGCACAAACGTTCCATCTGTTGCCATTGACTTCGGGGGCTTGAGGAAAAGTCGCATGGATGGAAACAAGACATGCTGAATGGTCCACTCACGTTGGGCCCATGCTGCTTCTGCTTCCGCAAGAAGTTCTTGATCAACGTCATTTTCATCTGTAGTGCAGTTGGTATTTAGAACCACTAGCAGTTAACTTTGAATCAAAAACACATAAACTCAATGCTACAATTGACCATGAATATCTAGCTGTAGCATCACATGCAATGGAATCTTGTTAGATATGTTGTCAAATCCCATGCCATGCTATCTGACTGGGGGAAAATCCGTGTGCAGTTTGTCTACTAAGGTTACAGTTTGGCATATCTGTTCCGTACACACTTCAATGGTTCTAAAATACAAATATCAAGTATGCAAAGAGCTCACCTGATATTAGATCATTCTCAGCATGTTCATCAGCCATTGAATCTCTATTTTTCTTGTATAAATGAATGCCATTCCCAGATGGATTTGGAAGGATTGGGGGATGAAGTGCATAGAAGTTTCCTACAGCAGAAGCTACTGTTCTGAAGCACTCTTTCTCGTCATCCCAAGTAACCTGTTATATGACAGTAATTACAATTAACAATAAATAAAGATAGCCAGAATTGAAGGAACTAGTGTAGTCAAGCAAAATATTTCATGAACAAACACCTCTGGAGACTGAAATTAAGAGAGAAATAAGAATGGTATAACCTAAGAAAAAAGAGTTACTTCTGGATTCAATACGTAGTTAGAAACCATGTCCAAATTTAAATTAGTGAAAGAAGAAACCTACATCATTTCCTAAAGCCAACACAAATTCTGGAAGACGGTCCATATCAGGGGTGTACTGGTCCAGTACAACAGGAAGTCTTGTCAATTTGCCATCTTGATCAATGTGAATAGAAAAGTACTCATTAATCATCTCAGCATTTTCTTTTAGTATCTCAGTGTTTACCTGCAAACAAATAAATAATACATCATTAAATTATGTTGACTGCACCAAAAGTCCAAAGTAAAAACAGCGTGCAGATGGACAAAACAAAATTCGTCACAAGACTAACAAAACCTCAAGCAGTTGAGAAAATAGCTTACTTCTGCAATCTCCAGTTTCTCATCATCCTTTTCATCACTCATCAATTCATCGTCTTTCAGTGCCATCACCAGCAACTCCTGAAGTGGAGCTGGTTCACTGAGCTGAATAGCATTGAAGTTCCCAAAACGGCACAAAGCTTGCTGGTACATAAGTTCTTTACTGCATAACAGTGAATATACATAAGAAAAAAATACCAGAGTGGTTTACCACAGGGACAAAATTGATGCAATAGAGGTCGGTAGTTGCGAGAGGGCAGTTGTATATGATATGCATTAGACAGCAGTTTGATTATGGTGCGCTGAATAAAACTGTGATTCTGGTCATGTCAGATATTCTAAATTTATATGACAGAAAAGGCATAGAACACTAGTCAAAATGGAAATGGTGAAAATCAATGCACTGTTAAATTTACCTAATATTTACCACATTTACAAGGTATAAGCGGGTATTGTGTTGTATCAAAGCAAAGGCTTCATCGGCAAGTCCAACATATGTGCAGTTCTTGACAATGTCCAAAAGGCCTGAAGAAAAAATAAATAATTAGTCTAGAACAATGGAGGCAGGCACTGCAACAGGCACCGGGGAGTAAGATGAGCTTACCAGGATGGAAGCTAGAATCTATTTCCACAAGGAGCTCATGACGGCTTGACAAATCACCAGCATCTTTTTGGTTTCTCCTTGATCTTACAACATTTCTTGGAGAACATTGTACAAGTAGAACAGGACAAACCCAGTGAAAATCAATGAATTAAGATAATCCTTCTCACATCTTTAAATGGATTGTCTGAATTTTAGCAACCAATGTAATAAATAAATAAATTTCCAGCACTTCCAACTAAACCAGAGTAATGTAAACACCAAATTCCTCACATGAGGATGCATAGTGCACGTAAATAATTTCAGGTTCAGGGAACACAAATATAACTGAACAGAACAGAGAATATGAAAACGGTGAACAGTTAATAGTTTGCTAACAAAGCCCATACCTTACAGATACAAGATCAAATTTCTTTTCAAGATTTGAAGATTGCCCGTGCCAGTAGGTGTGCAATCTTCCAGATGGATTGCGTGGATCTGTTCTGACCATTTGGCTCACAGGAATTTTTTGAGATTTTGTTCCTGCAGTAAGAGATGGCTGGGTAAGGAGGCAGACTACTAATAACTTGATAGTTGAATATCCACCGTAAACTAATGTGCTAGTAGCACATGCCATATTTTTTACAAATTACAACACTGTAGCTCAAAAAGGAATTGATCTAAAAGTATTTTACCCAATATAATAAATGTTGAATAGATCTTACATACCAGAACCCATACTGGCCTCAGAAACCTTATCCTTTTGTGGGTTAGCTTGAGCAATCCCTGATAAGTTTAATGCCTGCAATGTACATGGAGCAGCATTGATGGGGACAAAGTTCGCATCATCATGAAAAATGCATTTGTAAATATTTTTGATGATGAAGATAAAGTTTATCTGCAATTCAATAATTGGAACTTAATGCCACAAGTTGATAATAAGCAAGTAATGTTTTTATTTCAGAGTATATTGTACTGGAGTTACATATATTAAAGATTATAAAATCCAGTATGCATGCATACAAACACCACTGGCACACCAGACACCATTTCACGAACACAAGGGAAGCTTTATTCAATCTAAGCTTTTCTTTTTCATAGAGGACCATCTAGTGACAGATCCTTTTCTTACGCGAAAATTTTGATGAAAATTAGCATGAATTTCACTATTCCAGCATAGTACTTGCAAGTATTTAGGAATGTTTATAAGTTAACGCAGTCATGCAGCTTGGAAGATTGCAACAGATACATTGTCCCCGAAAATAATGACCAGTCACACAATGAAAACTAAACAAACATACAGAACGAAAGTAACCCACAAGAAAACTTAACAGTTTATCACCCACAATAGCCTCATCATACTGATTTGGGTAGTACAGATGCATTGAAGGGAAATAAATGATGTATGCAATACAAATGCAGATATATAGTGTAAAATAAACCTGAAGTACCTGAGTTTGGAATATCCTGGTTGTATTAGAATTCATCAGTTTTTCCTCAATAGCATTTCTTATTGTTTCAATAATACGCTCTTGATTCAAAAGGCTAACCTGCAAGACAAAAGGGATAACCAAAAAGGCAATTTAGTGTTCTCTTAGTGGAAAATTGCAGTGCTCAAAATCTGAAAGAATAATTAGAAGTGTCCTCTCGAAAAATTCTTCCAAGGATGTGGGTCACAATATACCTCTTTCTTGGTTGGGTGTATATTAACATCCACGTGTTCTGATGGAAGATGTATGGACATGTATATGAAAGGTTTGGATGCTTGAGGCAATGTTGCAGAGTACACAAATTCAATAGCTCTTTTCAAAGCAGTACAGTCTACAAGCCTATCTGAAACATAAATATGAAGACAATTAATTGCTAAACCACAGAAACATATGTGACCGTAAAGAAGAGCTGTAAACTATGGTTAACCATAGATTTTGGGGGATTTATGCAGTTTCATATCAATGGGTATATAGATTTATTCCCTAGAAATTAACCACTTTTGACAATAATAACTCAGTTAAATGAACAGAAGCCAACCAACTTGCCAAACCTAACCACAAGCATTATCTACATGGGAAGTAGTGCACATGAGTTCTTATGTTCATATTAAACCATTAGCATCTAGAGTTTCACATATTCCAGTGAATGGAAACTATCTTTTGTACCATTTATGAAAAGAATCATTGTAATCTTCTTTGCCACATAATTTGCATTTGAGATGTAACCATCCATCTTGAAGATTGAATCTGCAGCATCCTCATATGAAACCTTTATTTCTATGAGATCACGAACGACAGAAGCCCCATAGACACTCCTGATAGCATCTAACCTTGAGGATGTACTTGCACTATGAACATCTGCTCTATTGGCTCCATGCTGTGACATAATGGGAGGAAAATGTCAACCTCTTCAAGTCGATGAGATAACACAAGACACCATATTCACCTTTCTGCAAGAGAAGGTAACGTTGATGTGATGGACTGCAAACCGACTGATGAAGTCTACGATCTTGGGGTAGTCATCATTGGAGTTCTGCAATGTTTTCTTGCGGGCTACCATGTTGTAAAATAGATTTTCAACCTGCAGAGAACCTTCTGTTGGTTACACAGAACAATACATTTCCAACTAATACAGCAAAAATTTACTTCATGCAAACTCAGTCGACTGACCATGACTTGAGTTCCTTTCACCGCAGCGCAAGGCTTAGGCTCATTCTCCATTACACCATCTCTGTAAGAAACCCTGGTACAAAATATGATATCACTCAATTAAAAACAACTTTAGCTTCGCGCACAAAAGTCCGAATCTGTTCAATGACTGACCTGTAGCCGTGCAATTGGCCTTCTGTTATCGTTGTCACGGTAACATGGCCAACATAAGTCATACTAGCCAAAGCCTCCCCTCTGAACCCCATCGATTTTATGGTCTGCAGATCCTCGTATGCAGATAACTTTGAGGTAGTATGCCTTTCGCACAATATTGCCAAATCCTCAAACTGTCAAATAAACAAAATTAGCTAAAACCATTCCTACCATTAGCGACATTGATTAGGGTTTAGGAGATGGAGAGTTGGGCGGTGAGGGTTTAAGAGATTGGGGGGATTGGTTTGGAAGTGTACCCTGATGCCATGGCCGTCATCGGAGACCTGGATGAGCTTGAGGCCACCGTCCTTCACCGCAACGGAGACGCTGGAGGCGCCAGCGTCGAGGCTGTTCTCGATGAGCTCCTTCACCGCCGACGACGGCCGCTGGATCACCTCCCCCGCCGCGATGCGGTTCACCACCGACTCCTCCAACCTCCGGATGCGGGGCGGCTCCCCGGCGCACCCACCTCCGCGCGGCGAAGGCTCGTCCATGCCCCGCCCTGCTCGATCTCTCGTCACGGCGGTTGGCCGGCGGTGAGGCGAGGGCAGCGACGTGGTCGGGACTCACTCGCTCGAGCGGAGGAGGAGAGGAGACTGCAAAATGTGAAGAGGGACAATTCTAGGAAGTAAATTGTAAATGTTACACTATAGTACTCCTTGAATTTTTTGTTTGTACTGTTTGGCTACTTGTCTTATTTAAAAATTTGTGTAAATATAAAAAAATAAAAAGTTATGCTTAAAGTACTTTAAAAGAAAGTAAAAAAAATAAATAATAATTCTAATTTTTTTTAAATAATACGAGTGGTTAAACAGTACAGGAAAAAAAATCAAAATCCCTTATATTGGGATGGAGGGAGTACTTCCCAATTTTCTCCCCTTCAACAAAAGGGTACAAGGTAAAAAGAAATAGTAATATATTCAGGGGGTTTTGTGCATAATGTCGAATTACCTGCATCTTGTCCGTTGGTTCTTCCATCCAACGGCTGGTGTCCGCTCCGAGCTCCCGACCACCGGAGTCGCTTCACTATCAGAGCGGCGGCGGCGGCGGCGAGCCCTCTTCTTCCCGGCAACCGCGGCGGCGGAGACGAGCGCGACGCGGCGATTCCCCCCAATTGCTCCTCCCGCTTCCGCTCCATCTGGACGGGTAAGCAACTCGAATCCCCACGATCTCGCTTCAGTCCGCGTCCATGGCAAATCAGGCGCTGATTCCGTCTCAGCCGCCCGGCTCTATGATGCGCGCTCTTCCTCTGCGTGATCTACAGGCTCGTACTACCGATGCGCCGTTGATTTCTGCAGGGCGCAGGTAGGTAGGCCGGAGACGAACGCCTTTGATTTCTCGCATCGCATCGCAGCTTAGTTAGTAGCGAGCTCACTGTGTTTCATCGGTTAGCACTTGAGGTTGTTTAGATCGGCCTGCGGCGCGAGCTCGGGAGCTGTATACATGGAGAAAGCGAGGTTGAGAGCTTTCCAGAGGGAGCAAGCCACGGCCAAGACATGTATGGTCTCCAGGTATCTTGCATTGCGTCTGGCTTCCTAGCAGTTTGGCTTAGGTTGAGTAAAATTTCACAGCGTGGGTTGTTGATTTCTATTGTTACAAGCAAGCAATTCTGTGCAGCTTTGCGACGGATTTTCTCGAGATAAGGGCCAAAGAGCCGTCTGTTCATGTTCTGGTTATTCCCGGAAATCCAGGTTAGTGGCACACTGAAGATCGGTGAGAATTGATGTGTTGCATTGCTCATGAAAGAGTATTGAGGTCATTGGAGAATCCTGTTGCTGTTTGGCAGGTATCGTTGCATTCTACAAGGACTTTGTTGAAGAGCTCTATGAGAACCTCGGTGGGCAAGCATCTATTACAGGTAAGTGTGGTGTAATCTATGCATTTTTTGTATGGACTATCTATGTGGCTTGCTGCTTGCTGATAAATTTTCACTATGCAGCGATTGGGCATATTTCACATAGCAAAAAGGTAATGTATAGCTTTGCTTTACCTGTTTACCTCAAGTTGCAGCTGATTTTCACAAAATTCATAACAGGATGCAGAGCGTGGACGATTGTTTTCGTTGCATGAACAAATTGATCACAAGGTATGGTATGGTATGATTCCATATTATATATTTCCGACTAAAACTGTGGTTTTGCATATCCAACTTTTGGTCAACCATACATCCGAACAAAAGAAAGAACACAACACCTCAGAGTCCCCCAAAGGCCTAGACCTCCAATCATGTTGAAAGCATCCTTATTCCACTCTCTCTTCCCTTACTCAAATTGTTCTGGAAATGATTTATGTTCTTTTATCTGTGTGGTTGCTGCTATAACACCCCCCCCCCCCCAACCAACCCTCCCTCCCCAATCCCCTCATCACCCCTGAGAAAGACACGTCTTTCTGGTTTAATCCATTTACATGCATGCAGGTCGATTTCATTGAGCAAGAATTTCAACATTCGGAACAATCATTAGTTCTGGTATGCCTTGCCTTCACTACCACAAGCCTTCTTTGGTTAAAGTTATGTTTTTATTTGGGTGCTGTCTGGATATTCAAGTACTTTTAGTATATACCATTATACATATCTACATACGATTTAAAGTTTAAATATTGTGATTCTAATTGACCTTTAGAAAAGGACAAGCCTCTGGTTCAAATATCTTCAGAATATGACGAGATTTGTGAAATCCAAAAGTTTTCTGTAGTACAAAATTTTATCGTTATTCCACTACTTGATTGCCTAGTCCAAGTTCATTAGTCTAGGATCGATTTTTTTTTTATGAATTTTGCTTTCACATGCACAATTCATCTTGGTTCTTTTGTGTATTTTGACATCACATCATTATATCTCCATTCATCACTGTAATGAGAAAATATTGCTCTGAGATCACGATAGTATTGTTATCTGTCCAAGTATGTGTGCTCAATACTTGAAAACCGTGTCCAAATTATTTTTCTGTATGAAGCCATTCACCTTGATTATTTCATCTTACTAATGAAGGTTGGTCATTCAATTGGTGCCTACATATGCCTGGAAATCTTCAAAAGACTTCAGAAGAAGGTATGGATACCTGTCCAAGTCGGACAATTCTTTACCGCAATGTGTTATTGCTTCACTTTCTGTGTTCGTTTCTCCTGGACAGGTGAAACTTTGTGTAGGACTCTATCCATTTTTAACACTCAACAAGAAGTCCATGAAGCAATCAGCTATTGGATATATTGCAAGGTACTGAAATGCTCTGGATAGTGATGAAGTTGTTTACAATTGTCAATATAGTCATATCCTGATAGGCTAAATATAGTCAGAAAATCAAGTGGTGCGACATATGGGAAGGCCAAACTTAAAGTTTGCCTGCATTTTCATTATTTATTGACAAATGCAACATATGAGACCATACATTATAAGTTGCTAAACAAAGTCTTTCAATAGGTATTCAATTAGTGTTGTTCATCTTTTGAGTGTTGTTTTGGACTTTTGGTGGTTAACTTTTGGCATGAGTTCCCAAGGGCAAAGATTATATTATCTAGTCCCCAGTTGACTTTCATTTTGCTTACATGGGTTTTCTCAACTGGGCATGGCAGGTCATCTCTCCTAAGTAAAGGGGTTAGCTCATTTGTTTCTTTTATCGGATCACTCCAAGCTTCAGTAACTAGGGGCATCATGAGAAGGTTACTTGGACCTTCATGGTCTGTAACGGCTGTCGAAGCTACATGCGGCCATCTCTTATGGGTGAGTTCTGAGCTTCACCATCCCACTAAGAGAGATGTCTTATATGTTTCTACTATCTGAAAATGTCTGAGACATTACTCCTTTATGGCAAATTGTGCAGTACCATACGATGCGTAATGTTCTCTTCATGGCAATGACAGAGTTCACGAAGGTGGTTTTTTTTCCCCCACAATGTTGGCATTACTATTTAAAAGCACAAGAGTATACTCAGTAGAGTAGACAACTTTACAACTAACATGGAGCCATTCTCCGTTTTACCTGTCTAGCTTTTCTTAACTATTTTAATGCATTCCAGCTCTCTGAAGAACCGGACTGGAATTTCATCAGTGCAAAACAGGACCAGATTGCATTTCTGTTTGATGTGGACGATCACTGGGGTCCGCTTGCACACTTGGAAGAGGTGAACAGATCATTTGCTATTCCAAAACTGCTCTTATTATTGTACTTACGATCCTGACCATCTTGCTTATGTTAACTTGTCGCTCCGAGAATTGACAGATCTCAAAGCGTGCTCCTGGGGTTGCCTTGTCTGTCGAAACTGAAGGCCATACACACGGCTATTGCTGCACGGAAGCTGGATCGTTTTGGGCTGCAGACTACGTGGCTAATTTGATTAAAACTAAATTCTGATTGGAAATTCAAGATGAAAATTGTACCGTAGTCAGACTCAGTATTTTTATCCTCCAAAGGGAGATAGTAAGAATAATGAAATAAACCGGTTGGATCAACCTCATCAATCACAAATTCACAATCGTCGTTTGGCCTGGCAACCGCACCCCGTGATTTGTCATTGATTTTTGTCTAATTGTTATTGGGGAAAAAAATCCTGAATTCCATGCAAAGTTTTTCTAGGAAATTTTGGAAACAATAGTCATCTAAGCTTATCAGATTCATTGCAGATTTGCAGGCAACATAAATAGCTGCAAAGGGATGGATGGTACAACAAATTATCTCACTTCATTCAACAAATTGTCATTGTGTTTGCAAACTATAATGTACACGAGAAAGACTTCAAGCTGCTAGAGCACTTACAAATGCTACGAAAATCCTACAACCTTGACCTGAGTTCTCACAGTTAGCTGCACATAAAACAGAATGATATTCTAAAATTCTTCATCGGGTGAAAACTCATCGTCGGGCGAATTTACTGTCAAGAGTGAGTATTTCACCCGCAGCGATATCTTGCCCCTCTCAAGATGCAGCTTTGCACCTGAAACCACCCAGTAACCTGGCAGGTCCTGCGGTCCACGCAACATCTCCGTTGTATCCACAAACCTGAGCAACTTTGGGGTCTGCACTGGAACAGGCGGGCCACCAGGGTACACCGCCGAATTGATGTTCACTTCGGCAGGGCGAGGCGCGGGCTTTAGAGCTGCTGTGGAGAAATGTGTGCTGATAAGTGTTGAGATGAGGCCTGATTTCTGACCCAGGTTTGGAGATCCATCCCACTCTGGGTTCTTGACAGAAGTGGCATTGCAGACTTTGGAGAAATGAAGGCGAAGGAAGAGTATTTTCTTGAAACCATGGCTGACTACTTCCAGATGTGCCCCTGTGACAATGGAGGAATCATCTGAATCAACTGGTGCGGTGCAGACATGGGAGAAACGCTTCCATGAACCAATCGGTTCGTAGTATTTGCGGATCTCTGCTTCTGGAGTTTGGGGATTGTAAGTGTCGTCTTCGAGCTGAATAATCTGAGGAAGAGAGCAGAGATGCTGGAGATGGATAGCTAGTTTGTTGCTCTTCTGTCCCTCAAGAAACAACCGGAGTCCTGTAACAGGTCTTTTGCCCACATCAACCTGCACCAAATTTCAAAAATATCTCAAATGGCAAAAACAAAACCATAAACGAAAATGTAGTCGGAGAAGTATTCTTAATAAGAAAGTATAATTGTCATTGCAACAGACGGGCACACTGCTAGTTGTTAAGGCTATTGGTATCATTCGTTTCTAGTCGAGAATTTCAGTGTTCATGTTTTTTCCCTTTGAACTACCAGGTATTTTAAGTGAAAGGCTTAAGCACTACAAATCATTTTCACAAAAGGACATGATTTGACACATCAGTGGTTTTTTCTCTGCAACATGCAAGCTGACTTATGGCTACTTTCCTATGGGAATAAACAACATGTTTCATTTATGTAACTATGATACAGAGAATATGAATAAAACTAAAGAAATGTCAACAAACACTGTTCAATTACGTAATAAAAGAATTCCACATACCATGTTGGTACAAACGTATAGCTTTGGACCAATTAAATTTACTGGTAAAGATGCACTGCTTTGTCTTTTCCTCTGAGGACCCAGAGGGAGGTCACTGTAGACAGGTGCCCACTGCCTTGGAAGCTGAAACTCTAAAAACTGGTGCAATTCCTCAACTCGCGGCTTATCTGCACCAGAAAAAAAAAAGGTATCACCTAACTGTTTAACATTGCTTTCAATTCTCTGGCCCAATGCCACTGTTTGCTAACTAGAATTCTTATGTTTGTGACAACGTTATGATGGTGACTTTTCCTAAAGGAAATCATATGATGGTGACCTATAACCTACAGGCTTGCAATCCAAACATTGCAGAAAATTTAGGATTACTTCAATAATTTGCAACCACTTATTTTTCTTCTTCTGAACCTCCTTAGCAGAGAATGCCTGTTTTTTAGTTGTACACTCGCACAAAACATGATCAATAACACAGCCATACAGTTGGAAGCTAATGATGTGCCACAAACTATACCAGGTGTTATTTGACACATAGGGAATGAAGCTAGTGAACGAAGATACAAAGAAGTACAACGTTATAGAGCTATTCCCCCAGAAGAACCTTCTTTACATAGAATCTCTAAACTAAACAACATGAAGTATTTTTTTCCATGGAAGAAGTCAGCTATCTTTCTGTCCTTATAAAACATAATTATTTTTCCTAACTCTAGATATTACCATAAATTATAAAAAAAGGAATAAGCAGCTGAATGTACAGAAAAAAAATAGTAACACAATCACAGAAGTGCTTCATGTTAATTGTTAACTAAGAAAGGGGTAAGCAGATGAAATATGATGGATGAATCTGTACTCTAGAAGATTATGAATTCACACTTACACCGAAGGTACAGATTAATTGCATGGTTCAAAAATCCACAGCCAGGAACTCCATTCAACAGTGAAGTAATAGGTATGAAGGACATTGAGATAACATCAGGTTCTGCCTGAACAGTATTCAGCCACTCGCTATGAGAAATGATATCTTTATCCCTTCCACCTCTTCGCTTAGGCATCATTACCAACTCCTGAGGTGATCAAAACTTATAAATAAGATCATAAGACTTTATATGAACAGAGAAAAATGGTATCAACACAATGACCTATACCTCATTAGAAGAGTAAGAATTTAATGGATTGGACTCCACAAATCTCAGTCGTTGCTCTCTTGCTTCAACCTGCACAGCATGTAAAAACTTTCAATGTAAGTCTTAGAAGAGAAAAGGTTACAAAAAAAAGTGAAGGTGACCCATCACCCTTATCAAAAGGAGACAATATATGTCTGCCAGAAAACAGTAAGATTTAAATTACAATTAACCTACACATACAGAGATGAGAATAATTACAGGTGTGATAGATCACTAGAGATGCTGTCAGAGTACAGGAAAATATAACGCAAAGAATGTTTAGAGGCTTGGTAAACACCTTATTATCTTTAGCGTATGAATCTGCCAAACTAATGTCAGAGTGCCCATTTGCATCAAGAAATCGCTGGTCTGACATCTCTTTCAATCGTTTTTGAACATCAACAGCTTGCAAGCTTGACGAGTGCTGTTGCTTTAAATAAATTACATCCTTTCCTCCCATTTTTACACCAACGACTATATGAGTCCCAAATTTTTTAATAAACCTGTAAGAGTATATTGACAAATGAGTCAGATAAGATCAGAACAATTCTGAAAAAAAAAATCAAAACATGAAAAAGAAAAGCTAACAATATGACTTTCCTGAAGGATAAGACCACTAATTGTTTATGTTAATTCAAATCAACCATGCTTTAGGTATGAATGCAGATACAAATATGTGTCTAACCTTGCTAAGGCAGCAGGTTCCCATGTTGATGGAACAGCCTGCTTAACATGATCCTTTAGTATTATATGTGCCTTTGAGAGTGCAACAGTGTATAGTGTGATACACCAACCATCAAAAGCAAGTGATTTGGTAATAGAAGCATCTTTCTGCCAGCACCCAGTAAATTCAAACATCGCATTGAAAAATCCAGATGGAATTTTTCCAGACAATGATAGCTCCCGGTTGAATTGTTCAGACATCTGCAAAATATTTCATAACTTGAGTAACTTGGGGAAGGTTGCAAGCGTGAATATTACTTCTTACAGATGTAATCCTACTCTTCTACTTAAATCCATGACTAATAAGATCAAGATAGTAAGAGTTCACCGTGACTAATAACAATACATTTACATAGCATTGTAATACAGCATACACTAGAACTTAATGGGCATAGAAAACATACCTGCTGAAATGATAAGACGTCAGAGCGGAACCGCATACGCTCCCCTTTATCGCACTTGATTGACTTAGACACACCAGTAACCGTCAGATTACCAGGGAGCACAATATCCTGAACCTTGTCATGGTCGAGCTCAATGAGCAGCGGATCAGGCGAACCACGCTGCTTGCAGTTTTTGAGACGGATATCATTAGCAATGTCGTAGCCAAGACCAATGGACCGTATTGCAGATTCTGAAACACTTTGCAGCTTTGCTTTATGCGCCATCTTTTATCATACAACGATCATAAATCCCAAACCTTGCTGATCAAGAGTTGAAAAGACAGCCAAAATTTTCCCTTTTTGCCGATGAGAACCTGCCGTAGAATCACCAAACACACAATCCTTTTGCAGTTGAAATGGTCAAGGATCAAGTATTCCTTCTTCCCCAACTGAATCAACTAGAAATGGAAGCGAAATACCACTACCTAACAATCTGGAGCCGAGTTTATCCAATAATTCCAAAGTAATTTTGCCGAATCTAAGAGGAAACAAGGGGAATCTTTGAGTTCTCTTGCTACTCTCAAACCCACATCAAACCAAAACACCAGCGGGGACAGCTAATATCGAGACACTCTGAACTGAAGTATAACCAAATCATAGGCCCGACCAGATCAAATTCCCTACAGATCTCCACGATTTTCTTTGACAAGCTACGAATTCCACCAAACCGGGTAAAGAAATTAAAGAAACGAGCTCCTAAATTCAGGACCAGCAGAAGCCGAGCAAAGGAGAAAACAAAAAAAAATTCTCAGAAATACTCCCACGGCAGGAAGGGCCGATCAGGTCACGGATTCTCGCGCGCGGCGAGCGGCCGGATCGCGGCGGAAACCGCGGGGGAATTCGGCGAACGCGAGGGAGAAGGGGGGAGGAGAGGAGTAGGAGACGTGTAGTGGCAGGATGAGGTAATTTTGGCTCCTGACTCTTCCTTTTTTTTTCTTTTGCTTTCTTTTTGAAAGGCTTTTGTTGCTTCGAGTCCCTTTTGTATTTTTGGTTTGGTCAAATTTGAGGTGGTAGTTGGCAGGCAGGTCCACCTGCAACTTTTTTATTTTTGTTGACATGTGTCTCATCTCATTGTCTTTTCCTCTCATTTTATGCTTCATATTTTTTTCCCCTCTACTGAACAATCAACAGAAAACTCTGGCATTAGATCAGGGTTACCAACCACTACCAAAAGCTGGACCAGATTGTTTTTTTTTTAAAAAAAACACGAAAACCGTTTGAAAATTGTTGGTTACCGATGAAATCATACCAAAATTTGCGAAAAAATTAAAATTCAATTTGATTTTTTTCACTTTCATTGGGAAATTGAATCGCTTGTGTTTTAGAATCCGCCTCATAAGTCTGGTTTTTAGAAAACCAAACTTTTTCTCTTATAAACCTCAAGCGAGATGTGCATTAAAGAAACAATATAAACATATGTCTAAGTTATTAAACATACATGCGCACCATATCTCTATAAGTATCTCCAAAAGATTGGACCGGTGTAACTTTGGAAGGATTCTAATGGATTTAACTTATTAAATATTCACGAGAGAATCTATTCTATGCCACTGAATTTATTCGAGTTCAACAATTTACCATCGATATTGTCTCTTTCTATAATATACCGACGACTTTATCAATTGTTCTACAATATACTATTGTTGGGCTTTTTCCAAAAATACCCAAAATACCCTTAGAGACATACAAGATTAACAATTGATTCATCTAATTATAAGTTTCAAAAAAATATGAAAATTTTTATGTGACCTCGTTACATAAAATGGAAGTTTGTATACATGTCTCAAGTTTTTTCTGGTATATTTAGTTTTTAGAAAAATAATATTTTTATGTGGTATATGAGAGAAAACTTGCTCATATGAGAGATAAAAACATCTTATGTAGTGTATGAAAGATGATTTATATTAAAAACATCAATAAAAAGTATTTTATATAGCATATAACAGATAAATTATATTTTGTTAAAAAATATAAATGTAAAAAACTTCAAACTTCAAACTTTCATATTGTGTAAGGAGGCCACATAAAATTTTTCATATTTGTTTTAAATTTTTCATATTTTGGGTATTTTTAAAAAGAATATACAGCCCAATAACGTATTATAGAACAGTTGTTGGAGAAATGAACGGGACCAATAACTCATGAAAATCTTTATTTTTACTTTCATTCAACTCTTGTGGGAGAAATGAATAGGACCTCAGTGTAAGTATATGCATGTGAGGACACATGCTTATATGGTGGACTATTTTCCCTCAATCTTCCCCGGTAGGCCGGTTCAAGGGTATACAAAGAGAAATCTTTTACGGCGACCGATCAGCAAGCATAATGCATGCCAACCTCTACTCTCGAGGAAAACGATGGATTTGTCGCAATGTCCTGCTAATTAATTAGGCAGTACTCACTCCCGAATTATTATTATCATTTAATTTTTTTAATATTTAATTTTAAAATATCATCTTTTAAAAATTTATTTTCAAATCTAAAACTTTTAGCCACCTCACCCCGCCTAATATAGCAAAAACAACATGGCCACGTCATCTACAGTAGACGTGCCATCGGTTTTTTTATATCATCAAAGATTAGCGTGTCCAAAAGGTTTACATCTAGAAATAAGTTTTTGATAGTTTACTTTTAAAATTAAAAATGTTTAAAAAATAGAGAAAAAAATCTTATATTGTCTCTATATCTTAAAATGATTTAAGCCATTCCAGTTTTTTTCCCAGTGAAAGCCAATTCAAATTTGATTGTATATATACCGAAAAATGTACATATTAATGACACCAAATAGGTATAATATGGATATACTACATATTTCATGAAATGCTGTAACACCTGTTTGATATAATTTATTTATAAATATGGTTAGTCTGAAATGATTAATTTGATTTAAGATAAAAACTAAAATGACTTTCTTTCGTTTTTTGGACGGAAGGAGCAAGTTAACAAGGGTCGATACTCAATTGACGATGAACTTTCTTTATGAAAGCAAAACAATGATCGGATTGTTTTGATTTTTTTTTGACTAAAGGATTGTTTTGATTTTGCTCGACCACGAACAGGCACTGTACACAAATTTGCATTCAGGTAAGTTTTCTCAGAATTGCGACTAATCAACATGCCACATGCCAAAAAATGCATGACCACCCGTGTCTCTCTAGCCTACGACCGCTGCAAATTGCTGGCTGAAGCCGCCTAAAATTCAGTCAGAGACTGACAGCTTACGCCGACTAATTACTTTTCTGAACGAGTCAGAACGAATCACTTAATTTCGCAGCGGCATGCAGCGATCGAACCTTCGTTTAGACAGTATTTCTCCAAGCACCGATCGAGATCAACGTATGATCCAATCGAAGATCAAGTCGTCGAATTTGCCGGATTCATGGTGAAACCGACCTTTAGGTGTGTTTAGTTCACGCAAAAATTAGAAATTTGATTGAAATCGGAATGATGTGATGAAAAAGTTGAAAGTTTGTGTGTAGAAAAGTTTTGATGTGATAGAAAAAATAGAAGTTTGAAGAAAAAATTAGGAACTAAATCAGGCCTTAGTTAATTTTGGCCCAAAAGAAGAGTCACGACTCACGAACGAAGAATGGTATGCGAAAACAAGGCGGAGAGAAGGAAAACACTCCCAATATTTATGGTGCCTTATCATGAATTCGTGCTGATCGGAGTTGCGTTGGCATAAACATATCTGGCTAATTACGTTGTGTAAAAAAAACTTCTTTTCTTTTAATATATTGATGCACGGCAATTATTTTACGTGCTGGCGAAAAAAATTCTTAACTGAAAATCCATCAAAACTTTCCAGTGACCTGTAGCCGTTACTTAATCTGTCATCCTCGTCCACGTAAAAAGCTATTGCTCCCTCTGTCCCTAAGTATAAAGAATATTGGTTAGATGTGATACATTCTAGTACGATGAATCGACATTGAAACATATTGCTAAGCGTGGACATCATGAAGTGTCACATCCAACCAAAATTCCTTATATTTAGGGACGGAGATAATATTACTGTACAAGCTACCATTGCTAAGCTGCACTGTAAGCCTGTAGACATGGCGACTGTTGCTGTCGTGGTTGGCATGCTGATCCTAGTGTCGTCGGCGGCGGCCAACGGCGGCGCTGTTGGTGTTCGGCGACTCGCCGGTTGACGACGGCAATAACAACGCGCTGAGCTGCCTCGCCAAGGCCCAACTTCTTCCCCTACGGCATCGAGCAGTGGCGGATTTAGAAAATTGGTTCGCTGTTGTCATAACGTGTCTATCGGTGTCATATTATGCTAATTATGCTTAAAACATGATGTTATAGTATATAGATAAACAGTTTTGCTATAGGTATTACCGAAAGTTATCGGTGTCGCATGATATCGACGATTATACTGTAGATCCGCCCCTGGCGTCGAGTAACCGAGTTCCACCTTCTGCAACGGCAAGACCTTCGTCGACTCTCACTCTGTTACGTAATTACTGACGTTAATTCATTCGCAATTTTTCTTCTTCTTTACAAATTCGATTTGTATATCTCCTTGTAGTTCCTCTCAATGTGATTAATTTCTGTTGATTCAGCCTGGGCCAGCAGGTGCTCAACCTGGAGAGCAACCTGGACACGATCAGGACACAGATGGAAGGTGGCTTGGAAGCAACGATTACATCAACAACAACCTCCTCACATCACTGTACGATTCAGGCTACAACTATACAGCGCGGAGGACTACTCCGATCTGCTCATCAACCACTACTCCAGGCAGACACTGGTCAGAGTGCTGCGTTCTTTTGAACACTTTCTTAACTTCTACGCTTTCGATTCCCACATACACGCTTCATTAGACGGTACATTCTTTATAAAAATACTTTATAAGAAAGTTGCTTTAAAGATTCATATTAATTTATTTTTTTATGTTTTTAGCTGATACTTAATTAATTATGTGCTTGTTTATCATTCCGTTTTGTGTGTTGGGTGGAAGGGTTTCCAACCCTGATGAACGAACGCAACCTAGTCATAAATTAATCCTCAATGAGTTACTGAAAAATTAACCCTCAATGTGAGTTAATGATTTTCACCTTTTTGAATGCAGGCTCTGTACAGTGTTGGGCTGAGGAAGTTTCTCCTGGATGGGGTGGGCCCACTGGGCTGCCTCCCCAGCCTGAGGGCCTCCGGATTGGGCCCACAAGGTCAGTGCGTCGATCAGGTGAACCAGATGGTGGGTTTCTTCAACCAAGGGCTGAGATCTCTCGTTGATAAGCTGAACGCTGACCATCCTGATGCCATGTTCATCTACGGCAACACCTACGATGCTGTCTACAACATGATCAATAATCCTCACAAATACGGTATAAACATCACAGAAACTCAAACTTACATTTCTAGCTACGCACATGGATACATCAGAAATGCTTACATTTGGAAACGAAAAACATCTGAACTGAACATGACCGCGTTTATGGATGTTTTTTTTTCCTTTTTTTTTGTTTATGGATGTTTTTTTCCTTTTTTTTGCAGGGTTCAGGGTGATGGACAGTGGGTGCTGTGTGCTGGGTGAGGATGGCACGTGCGAGCCGTACGCGGAGCCGTGCGAGATCTGCAGCAGCTAGCTCGCCCGTCGATCTCTAGCCTAATTCTCTCAGCTAATTAGATGATCAAACGTGCAAACTTGCATTATGAATGATGAAATATTGTGTGTATATGTATAACTAGATCTGGAAGCCTTAAGCTTAGCTTAACCCGTGCATGCATGATAAAATGTATCTGATGAAGATCGATGTGTATAATTATAATTAAGCATATTCATGATATCTTGAAATTAAATCAGAGGGAAATTATTAGAAGTAGCTTTTCATGAATTAATGCAAGAGGTTAATCAACCGAGCTAGCTTCTATATATGATATATGAAAGTGTGCATAATTATTTGGGCTTATAGACATGATTGAGGCAGACAAGCTTGAGTGCATGAAAAGCTAAACATGCAGGATATAGGTATGCAGCGATCTGCATATGTAGAAGTTTGCCATTTAGCAGAGTTCATGTAAATGTACTGAAAGATAAGCGTACGTGGTACATTTAGCTTCTCAAAAGGAAGCTACATATAATAATCCATACAAGTCGTTATACTAATTGGAGATTTGGAGAACTCCAGAGTAATAATATGTCTGGTAATGGCTTCCATCAATTTTTCATCTGATTTCTTGGGCCTGCTTGACCTTAATTATGCATATATATAATGCATTGCTGCCTTAATTATGGGTGAAAGGGTGGATGGTGATACATAACGAGTGAGATGGAAGAAAACCAGAAATGAAGGACCAGATCGAATAGAGAATGGATCGAAAGGGACCCTGACCTAGTTAGTGTACAAGAAAAAAAGAAATGAAGATGTATAGGTGAAAATGAAATATGTGACTACGTACTACAAATTAATACACAATTAATTGAACTCTTTCAGTAGCCCCCACAAGCTTCTGTGGAGACATCTTGAACTAAAGCTGCATATGAAAAATCAGCAGCGACTCTACCACATATTATTTCCCCTGCACTCTCTTCCTTAAGAGGTACAAGGCACAACAAAACTTTTCCTAGAAGCTAAGTTAACATGAACACACTGATTAACTGAAGATGCTAACCTGTGACCTATACATGCAGGATGGTTAATTTACTCGTGTACTAGACTGACGACACATTGGATGAGAGAATTTCTTGTAAAAAATTAATGCAACGTTCACCTTAAAGGAGAATTAAGAAGACCTTAATTGCTAGACCAGACTACACAATGCAAAATTGGACTTACCACAGTCCTTTGTTAGCATGCCAAATACACCACTCAACCCATAAGTGGGTACATTTGGCGTGACCGCGTGAGTGTAATTAGTAAATATGTGAGCTGAGTAAGTATACTCATGAGAGCTAGGACAGATGATATGCATATGAGATATGACTGACACATGTGTGTGGAGGAAGAAGATACTGTATTTAGATGGATGCAGACTTAAGGCAGCCGTGGTTTTCTAGGCCAATGGTTTCTCTGGAGCTGCAGCGACATGAGAAGAAATGAGCCTGTACTGATACTGTGGTGATGGTGCCGGCAGAGTTGGAGCTGTCAGAGACATTGTCATGCCTGCAGAAAATAAGGATCGCATTATTTACTTAGTACTGTATTATCATATCAAGTGCAATTAGTTAATCGACTCCATTGTAGTACTACCAACAATAAATGCAGGCCCCTCTCAATAAAAACAATAAACAATAAATGCAGGCCAATTATTCAGTTGATGTTCCAGATCAGGATTAATGTATTCCAACAGAAGGATTAATTAGGTCACCAAGAATGGTTATCTATAAGCTCTCTACAAGAGATCCATGTTAGCATATTTTTCTACTTGGAAGATATTAAATGAAGAGAGAGAGCAAAGCTATCTACTAGCTTAGAAATAGTCTATAGAGAAAAACGAGACAATGCATGAGAGAGCTATAGATACCTATGTAGACATACTATTGAGGTGGTTTATTATTAATCTAGTCTATTGTTGAGATGTACATGTTTTATAGAGAGCACCTTACTTTACCATTGCGGGTGCTCTTAGTACTCCACTCCTAATTAACAATAACTAGGGTATTACTAGTACTCCCTCCATTCCAAAATATAAGGCACAACTACCCTTAATCCAAAGACCAAGAAATAATTATTATCATATTGTAGTTTGGATCATCCTAATAAATATAATGCATGCATCCAATAGGATTAGATAGCATGAGAGTGGAGGATTTAAAAAAGTAATAATTTAATAGAGAAGATATCATAATTAATTGTGTGTTTGCATGTATGCCTTATATCATGGAACATGTAAGAAAAGTGGTTGTGACTTATATTATGGAATGGAGGGAGTATTAATTAGTGCCCAATTTTATTTTTGGGTGAGTAGGCATAACGTCTTTTTTATATGTGATACCCTCACAAGCATGCATGATCTCGCGCAAAGGATTGAGTAGCGTGTCAATATGCACAAGTACTCATGCATTGTACATTGGGTTGCTTGCAGATTCAGACATATATATACAGTGCATGTACTATACAAGAATGAAAATACATCGTGCATGTAGGAATGATATATACCCCCATATGGTACGGTTATGTATAAATGTTTAACGAGAAGGATGTTTTTCTTTTTAAAAAGAATTAACTATTAATTTCATATTTAAATAAATTTATAAAACCTAATTAACAAGATATTATGATAGATAGTATAATTTTTAAGGAAAATCCACCACTAATCATTTGAGAAATTATTAATCATCAATTTTTTCATAACTTGACCAAACCCTACACTAAATGTTAAATATTTATAGCAGGATGGAGTAGCTCGCAGCCTCGAATTAATAGAAATATGACCCCCCTCCGCCCCTCCCCCCCCTAATAAAAAAAAGCTATCTCACTGAAGATATATACTCCATCCGTCTCTAAGATATAAGTACTTTTGGACTTTGACATGGTCGCCAAGATGTTATTTTGACCAATAATATATATAAAAATAAGATATTTTAAATAAAAAGAGTTGCATATTATGATAGTTTTTTAATAATAAATCTAGCAACATCAATTTTACATGATTGATCTTTTTTTATTTTTTACTATTAATATTAATAGCCAAAGTTAAAAGTATTTGACCTGTCATTATGCTATAAAAATGTTTATATTTTGGGTTGGAGGAAGTAAAATAAATTAAAACATCTCTGACAAACCTGCTGCTTGGCCGGTAGAGTTAGGAGCAAGAGCCACAGTGCCAGCGTACTGCTGGAGCCCGGCCACGGCGGTCAGCTGGCTGGCCGTCGTCGCCGCCGTCGGGGCTCCGACAGCCGCCGCCGCCGCCGCGTACTGGTACATCTGAGGGTACTGCATGCCGGCGTACCCGGCAGCAGCCGCGTTCGCCGCCACCGCTGGGCCGTACTGGAAGTACGGCGAGTAGAGACCGCCGCCGGTAGGATTCGCCATTGTTAGCCCCGCCGCCCCGGCGGCGGCGCCACCAGCGAACATCTGGTACTGGGCTCCAAGCCCACCGTACGCTTGATAGTAGCTCTGTATAGTACGTAAAAATGTTGACATGATCATGGGTGATTAATTAGTTTACCACTAATTTTGAGATGCAACATTATAGTTTATGAACTAGTAATAGTCAGACTTTAGTAAAATCTATAGGAGAGGGATCGATCGATGAATCTCTAGTAGATATATACTTTATCAGCTTGCATATATACACAATATATGTATATATGTAAACTATAACGCAAATTGATTAAACAAAAAATTACATGGATGATGATTTTTTTTTTCTGAATGGAATTGAAGTATATATACGTACCAGCGGATAGCCGTAATCCGAGAAATAAGGTGAGTACCTGAAATCAATTTTGCAAGTAGCCAAAGGAGAGTGTCATTAATTTGCTTTTTGAAATGTACATAGAAATGACGTGATGAGGTACATATGCATATAATAAAGCAACCTAAATACATACATTTCGTGAATGAATAACCTAAATATTTCGTGAATGAATACATCTGGATATCTCTCCTATATATGGGACTCCTAATTGCACATGGAATTACCTAAACAAACTTGGTTGATAATGCTGATTATTGATTATAAATTTCCTAATTCCTAGCTGTAAACTTGGGAACTCTACATTAAGTAACTGTATGAAGCACATTAATTGGTGTTCAGCCTAATTGCCTAAAGTAGACTAACTAATATATGTGCAGGCATGGTTAATTTCAGTTTGGAGTACAGATATATCTTAACGTCTAGTACTAATCTCCGGCCTTAATGTGGCCAAGTGAGGTTTCATATGAAGAAATTCATTTGCATGAAAATTAATCATCTTAAATACTAGTCACTAAATTAAGAACACCAAGATCTATATCAATTAGCAGAGCTGCAGAATGGAAACTTTGAGATCTCTCTAGTTTCTTGCTACTTTTTTTTCCCCTCAGTGCATGCAGGCATGCGCATATTGCAGGAAGAACTGAGCAAGCAAGAGGGGCGCATGCAATGCAAAGCTTTTTGTAAAGTGGCGCGCATGCAACTGCATGACACTATATATACCGACCGGTACCCCACATGCCAGACGCTGTACCCGAGGCATTATGCTATACAGTATAGTATATACGTACATATACGGGCTAGCTATACAGTATAGTATATACTAGTAGCACGTCAAATGATCGATGAGGACACATGCAGCATGATCATGAGGTGCTCGATCGATCGATCACGCCTAGCTTAGCTTATACTACTCCTTTCAAACTATTTTAAGTGCAGTTATTGATTTATATATGTATCCAATGTTTTACCGTTTGCTTTATTAAAAAAATGTAAAAAAATTAAAAAGTAAGTCACGCATAAATACTATTTATGTTTTATCATCTAATAATAACAAAAATATTAATCATAAAAAAATTTAAATAAGACGAACGGTCGAACGCTGGACATAGAAACCTACAACTACACTTAAAATGCGACGGAGGGAGGGGGTAACAGCTACTACAGCAAGTTGCACACATACACTACTAGCTAGCTGCTTCTCTTTCACTACTCACTATTTGCACACACATACACATGCATGAGAGAGATGAGAGAGATAGTAGCATTGTCTTTGTGTGGGCACATGCACATGGAGATGGAGATGGAGATGGAGAAGGAGAAGGAGGAGCTGGAGATGCACATGCAGATGGTGATGGACGGTGCAGTCGTTGGCCCCCTCCCTCCATTAAACGAGCTGAAGCTGAGACCAGCTAGCTCCAACGCCTTTAACCCCCCAAAACCATCCTCTTTACAGCTAGCCGGCCATCTTCTCTACTACATATCATATCCCAGCATGCATGCAATGCAATGCAGCAGATTGAGAAGCAAACACAAGCTCTATATATCGATCTCTAGCTAGCTAGCTAGCTGGCTGGCCGGTGGTTAGTGTGTGTACTATTCCTACCTGCAACTGTATATAGAAGGAGAGAGGGTGTGTTTAGTGCGCTAAAATTGAAAGTTTGATTGAAATTGAAACGATGTGACGGAAAAGTTAGAAGTTTATGTGTGTAGGAAAGTTTTGATATGATGGAAAAGTTAGAAGTTTGAAGAAAAAGTTAGGAACTAAACCAGACCAGAGATCGATATGAGTAGTTTACCCATACACATTGTAGGTCGGGATCCCCTGCTGGATGCCATGATCTGCCATGCTCAAGCTGGCACCACCACCGCCTGTCTGGATAATGGACTTCATTGCCCTCATATGCCCAGCTGCTCCAGTTCAATTCATGCATATTCACAAACAATTTATCAACTAATAAAGTACAGTATTCAATTACTATGCATGGTAATAAAGTACAGTATTCAATTACTATGCATGGTTTGTAATTAAGCATGATTAGTAATTGGCTGCTGGATAATTAATTAATTAATTAATTACAGTCAGTATATATATATGAACAGGAGTATTGGACAATCCAAGGACGGCAGATAACTGCATGCCTGACAACATGCTACTATACACACTGCAAACTGCACAAGAAGCAAGCAAGGCAGCCTAGAAGGCTGGAATTAACGACTCCCGAGAATAACTAACCGTGCTCGCTTTTAGCACTTTTGCAGAAAAGCTTTAGCTAGCTCAGCTGGAGACCACGCAGCCTTTTCATTACCGGTGAAATACTGTCGGATGCTCGGATAGCATACTTTATCTAGCTCGATCGCTTGTTGTTTTGATCTTAATTCATATAAGCATTATCCAACTAACTATACTATCCAGCTTGATGACAGTGACCGGCCTTAATTTGGCGCGAAGCAATACCATATAGTTAGACATAAGTACTTAATGTGTACAGGTATTACTAATTAGTTTACATCACAATTAATAACTTACTAGCTTGATTCAAGAATTAGCATATCCAAAAAGTGACTATACAGGATTTAAGCTTTTGTTAGTAGGAATTTGTTCTCAACTAACTGATCAATCAAAAGGGACGCATTTTTTGAGCCAATAATATAAATTAATTTGATTCTGAAGAATGCAATTTTTGCTCAAGGGAAAATGAAGAGTATATACTAAGTTTAGCAGTACGTGCAGTATGCTCCCAAAGTATGAGCATAAAATGATGCACAATACATGTTGTAGAATCTAGCTAAAAGATGCAAATTAAGCCAGGAAACGCACATATATGCTCCTCAGTTATTCTACATGATCATCATCAACCTTAAACTTGTCTCCACGTAGTGTCAGTTAATTATATGATCATCAGAAATTAAGAATCTGGATTAAAAAAACCATGAAGAAAAGTTAAGGTGCGTGTTTTATGTGATAGTGATTTCGATTACCATAAGGTTGCAGAGACGCTGCAGCTGCCTTGGATCTCTGGACCCCAAGATATGCAAGATTGCAGTTGGCCCTCCTCCCATCGATCACCGGGTACGGATCAAAGCAAGCTTTCATAGCAGCCTCCGGCTCGCGGAATGTAACCTAGCAAAGCAGAAATAATAAAGATTCAGTAGAGATCGAAAGATAACCAATCCAAGATCACAATAAAACCATGTAGCTAGCTAGATATAGATATATAGATATCTTAAAAAATCGATCGATCAGTTAGGTTCTTCGGTGATTAATTATGTGCAAGAAAGCTGCATATTTATCCTGGTTAATTAATTATTCTTTTGGTTGAAGAATTAACTTGGGAGGTGCAACTAGCTAGCTAGAACAGCTAGTTGGATCGATGCTGAAATTAAAATCCAAATTGATTGAAATCCAAGCAAACAGAAGTAGAATTGAATAGGAAGATGATGATTGATTGGGGAATTAAGCAGGAAGAGAGAAATAGGAACTCACAAATCCGTAGCCCTTGGATCTGCCGGTGTTCTTGTCGGTGATGACGACGGCCTCGAGGATATCGCCGAACTGCTCGAAGTATCCCCGCATCCCCTCCTTCTGCGTCTCCCACGCGAGTCCCCCCACGAACACCTTCGTCAGCGTCGTGTCGCCGAACTGCCCCGCCGCGCCGCCGCCGCCGCCAGCCGACACAGCCATCTACAACCTCTACCTCTTCTTCTTCCTCGATCGATCGCTCGCTCCGATCTGTACTTCTACAGTAACCTGGTGATCGATCTCAAAAGGCAAGGGCGATCGAGAGGGGGGCTGATGGCTATATCTATCGAGGCTTGATATGCAAGGGAGGATGAAGAGAAGGGTCCAACCTAGCTAGGTAGCTAGCACCAACCCTAGATAGCCTCGATATGGATGCTGGCCTTTGCTAGTACTACACCTATTAGCTTGAGTTGTAGAGAGAGAGAAGAAGAAGAAGCAAAAGAGGAAGGAGAGGAGAGGCCGAAAGGAGGAGGAGGAAAGAAAAGCGAAAGCTGGCAAAGGGAAAAGAAATCAACGAGAGAGAGGAAGAGGAAGAGGAAGAGGAGAGGAGGCGGGAGGAAAAGGCGGGTACGGGGGTACTCTCCTTACTCATCCATCGAGTAGGTATAAAGAAACATACTCCCTATCCCAAAACCTATTAGCTTATTTTGGAATGGAGAAAGTATCTTCTAACTTATTGTCCTCTTCTGATTTTAAGTAATTGACATCTAAGAGATGATCTAGAATAAGATTAGAGCGTGGACTCATCTCCTTCCTCCTTCAGCCCCCTACTCTTCCTCCTCCCCTCTTCTTCTTAGGGTTGCAAGCGGGCCAACCCGCGAACCCGCTTATAGGCAAAATTAGTAGGTAACCTACGGATCACCTACTGATTTGACTTATAAATGGGTTTATGGATCGGCCCACTTGTATCTCTAAGTGCAGCAAGCCGAATCACGATATGAAAACCTACGGGTTATCACTTATTTGACATATAAGTAAGTTCGCGTGTTGGCCCGCTTTCATCCCTACTTCTTCTCCCTACATTCTATCAATTATGATCCAGCGGAGTAGAGGGGACTCAAGTCCCCCAGCACCCACGCTGCACTGACACATGGGTCTTATAGCTCGTGGGCCGACATGTTAGCAACCTACGACAGATGATAGTATATCAAAGGAGCTTCTTTAATAGGTATATATATCTCTCTATCCCGATGGCTTGTGTTTCATTTACTTAGGCAATGTGCATCAACATATGAATATTAAATTTTGAACTCGTTTATTGTGGATTATTAACCTACCTCTACATTATTCCCTCCGTCCAAATATATATGTGGCGTATTTTATTCGTTAAGAATATAATTCCCATCACACAAAATCGATGTCTTTAGATTTGTATTCGAAATATTTATAGTTACACTTTTATATCACATAAACGGTATATATAGGGTAAAACAATTGTTAGTCAAAGTCTTGCCAATATTTTTGGATGGGGGAGTTGTATATATCAGCTAGCTTAGAATGGAGGAATTTATTTTAGCAAATGGTGTGGTGGGAAAGTCATGGCAATGCACATGATTTCATCCAACAGTGTTCAAATTCTAATTTCTGTATATAAGAACTTTTTACTGTCACTTGAAAGGCGGTGCATTAGCTGCATACCGGCATAACAATGATTTGTAAAACGAAACCACACATGTCACGAAGCAGATTAATGGGTTAGTCTGCATTAAAAGGAGGGGATTAATTACTGTACTTTGATCCGTACTTACTATTGATGAATGTAGGAACAGTTGTTTAAACAGTATTTCGACTAGTCCTAATGAATCTGTAAGTAATAGGACCGGCAATTCATTCATAGTGAGAGCTGTAGAAAAAGATTGCAATTATTATGCTTAAGATTGATTGACCTATTTGCCTTTCGCCGTATGGATATTATTAAGTGTTAGCAAGTTGCAAGGCAAGGACCCAGTCATTAGGGATAATATTGCCAACACGTACTACATCTCTATGCACAATCCACATAAAGGATTAGTGCTAATTATTTGCAATCAGTACATATGTACACCTATCTGTGGGACCATAAGTGCAAAGTCCATATATATTTTGTGGTTACTGATGCGCTAGCTCTTAATTTAGTTTATAAAGATCTCAGAAAGTTAAGGCAGAAATGGTACAGTATTCATGTTTAGGTGGCCATAATGTGTTTAGTTTAGGTGTAATGACAACCCAAAGTGATCATATCTGTATCTAACCATGAAAATGACACCAGAATAGATATCAACAAAAAGCTAGAGTAGCCACCAAATAACCACACGAAAGAAAAGGAGGGGAGAAGAATGTGTGAATCATGTCACAAAAAAGGTCACCATTCTATTGGCTGAGTGGGAGACCAATACATGAATCTTCCTTGAGATGACAGCTAGCCCTATTAACAATAACTTGGCTTTCACCTAGCTGTGACCATATATGTTTAGTGTTTTAGTATTGCTCTATTATGATATACTACTAGTAAGACAAAGTGCTTTTGCAGTTGACCATTGTGAAGTAGTGGAAGAACACATTCTAAGCTACAAGTAGCTAGATATATTTATGATTCTAGCTACTTATTAATACATACTTACAAAATAAGAAACCATGTTCTAAAAAAATACAATCAAGAATTCTGGGGTTAATGAGTTTTGGAAGTATATGTGCTGCTAGCTTTTGGGTTGAGTCCTCAGAAAGGTCAAAACTGTTATGTTGGTTTTGGTGTGTTTCACCAACCTTTATATTCATATTGACTTTTGATGTTGAACCTAAGCTAATCTGTTACTAACTTTGCATCAGTACTGAAGAATGTGTATGCATGTATGACAAATAGGGTACTTGTTAATAATAAGACATCCATTTGGTGGATATATGTACTATATCTGCAAAAGCATACCCATGGGAATAGAACAACATGCTCATTGCTGTAGACCTTTCAACCCTGATCTGGCCAACTTGTCTTCAAAAAAGGCTTTTCATTTTTTTTTAGTAAAGAAAAGGCTTTTCTGGTAGAACAGAATAGTGGAGGTTCTCCAGTTGCATTTCTAAAATGAAACCTTGCGTCACAAGTGATCCAAAGCAAACATTTTTCTTCCTCTAAAAAAAGTCAATTGATTCACATGTATTATCTTGATCTCATCTCAAACTCTCTTAATTAGCAGATAACTTAGAGCTTAGAGAACTTTAATGATAGTGACGGCAGCATTATGCAAGCGCATTACATCTTGAGTAGAAATTTCTCTGACATGTTCATAAATCAGATGCTGCAAAATCATTGTTCTTGAGTAGAAAACCCAACAGAAATGATGCAACCGCAGCCAAATTCAAGACAATATTGTGATCTATCAACGAGGTGTGAGTGTCGTGTGAACTACTCATTATGATCACATCGAATCCTGACCTGGACGTGAAACATCGTTATTCATCAGAGATTATCCAACTGGGTTAGACGTTGATGGCCTAAAAGTGAGGTCAAGCTTTCTTCACTAGTACATCCATCATATCGTATCTTTGGTCTGTCGCTGGTATTGCATACTTTATCCTTTTGACAACTGTCTTGCAGGCACCAAACTTTGCTTTTTGACCATGGGGGTGGGCCAGTCTGTAAGGACCTGCAGAATATATCACTGAATTTGGTGAGAGATGATGAATCGAAGCTGAATTTGCAGTGTATTCACATTCAGTGTAGATACACAACCACAAGCAAAGTGACAGATTTAGCTGATAATAGAAAGACGAATCTACATAGTATCAATATTGAGTACATCAGCAGGCCACCATTAGCATCATCCTAAAGAACTGCCAGATATATATGGAACGAAGAGAATGGTCCATGTCATAAGGTGATAGCTTACTCCAAAGTGATGCAGCCATATTCACTGTTATGAAGAAGTGTGCTCTGTTTGGCACTCCCAACCAGTTCCTCTATGATAAGTAGATAACAGCGCAATTTAATTGTGTACTTAGTGCATGACATGCTGTTGTGATACTCATGCCGACAGCTCTAATTTCTCAAAATGATACTGCTCGCCAGCAACTACTTTTAGAAGCTGAGAATATCTACCAACCGACGTTGCTTTATGGACCACAATTAGCTAAGAACATAAGATGTGTCTTATTGGCCACAAAATGCAGATCAATCCTGCTGTTGGAGTTGAGTACTAACAACTTGGCATTTGTTTAAATTCTTCCAGCTAAAGACCTTTAGTCTCCAAGTGTTTGCAACAACATGCCTCATACCATCTGCAGGATGTCTGGATCAGATCCAAGTGCCATAAAGCATAAACATGGAAACTGCTAATGCAGGTGACAGGTGATCATCCACGGAGTTTCCATTCAACTGTTCAAGAAATCCAAATGTATAGAATAGGGGTCTAGACAGATGCAAAATACAATTCGTAGTCAGCAAATGAGTTGATGCCACACAAGGTATCACCCTGTTACCTTGAAGCCTCCATGATCATAAAGAACAGTGCCTATATTATCTCCAGTCTCATCATCATTATCATCATATTCACTAGGATTAGCTTCTTCGTCAGACTCCGAAGCATCAGTGATATCAGAGAAACCATCGTTATCCATATGCGATAGGTCCTTCCCTTGACTCGGTTCTTCCATTTTCAGAGAAGCAGCTCTTCTATCATCACAATAAACAGGATCAACATTCTGGGATTGTGGGTTTCCATAAAGTGCAATATGCCGATAATAAAGTTCAAGCTCTTTTTCAGACACGGCAATAAAACGCCTCACTGTCTCCAGTGATTGTTCATATTTTGATTTTTCAAGTGCCTGATGAAAAAAAGGGACAGAGGTAAGTGCGCAAAATGATGCATAGAAAACATCAGTTATCTGGCATTTCTACAAGCTACCAACCATAGGCAATAATCCATCTGAGACAACTGAACTGGGTAAACAGAATCAACAAACCTACCTTTTTCTTTGATAGTGTATCGACTGGTGACATGACATCTGGCTGAACATAGTTCTTTCCCCGATAGAAGACTATGGTGTCATTTCCAATAGTATTAATAGGGATACCACCACTCAGTCTGGCTATCTCACTTGCGTACTCCTGGATTTGCCCTGGCTTGCAGGGTTTGCAGATGACTTTTACAGTCTCATGTTTCTTCCAGTGCAAATGCATGTTTAGAATAACACCACCAAAGACTCCTCTCCTTCCAACAGGGACATAATTTGACTTTTTTTGAGAAACCTTCTTCAAATAAAATCTTTCCTCGCCATCAAGATCATCTTGTTTAGCCATAGGGCCTTGTGCTTTAGCAATCTCATACTTCTTTAACTTCTCAACCAACATAGCTTCTTTCAATTTGGCCTGGAAGAGAAACAGATAGTCTTAGTTTGTACTCCCCTAGAAACAAAACAAAGAGAAATCAAGCACATTGTCTTCCAACATATTTAGCATATGTACTTCTGAAAGTTCCTTGGAAACCAACTACTTCTAAATTCTGATTATATCATAGAAATAGAAGAAGACAAATTATGAAGGAAAGTATATTGGCAGTGAATTGAAGCTAGAATGCTTATTCAAATACTGAATGGCAACCAGCAATGTCCTACTCTGAATGAAAGATGCTTAATTTGATTCATTGATTGTAAAGATTGCTTCAACAAGAAACTAGTCGAGCAAACTAAATTAAGCAAATATGTAAAAAGACATACCTTCTCAATCTTGTATTTGAGTCGAGCTTCAGGTGTAGGAAATTTCTGTTTTATCTTCTTTCCCTTGGGTCTGATACGCCGTGGATCATTTTTATTGGCCTCTTTCCTCTTCTTCTTTTCCCTCTTCCTCTGAAGCTTCAATCGCTTCTTTGTCAAATACCCCCGCTTCTTGGAAGGTTCCACCTCCTCAATCTCAAACTTGGGTTTCCCATCATCAGATAGAACTAGATTGACTGAGCTATGGCTAGCCCATCTAACCATCCATGGAGGACTAAACTGATAAAAGGGATTTAAGCATTTCCCAAATGAAGCAATAGCAGGCCTGCAACAAGTAGCAGGAAAAAAATACCAGGGAAATTAAACCCGAATTGTCATTGGTTACATATTACTCACATCATGCTTGGTAAGCTACACGGAGTAATTTTAGTGAACAAGTAGGCAACTCTTGCCAAATGAACATCAGTGCTATATTCTTTACAGAAACAACAATCGTTTGGGAGGAAACTCCTTTATATGATTATTGGAATTAAAGTTGCACACATGCTTCATGTTGCATACATCATTTTTGCCGCCTGCAGTTTCCAGCTCCTCATAAACAAACACCTATTCACAAATTCTAGTAGTAATAATTTGGTATTTCTCCCATCTAACCAATGAGGATGTACTCGAGGATCAGGAGAGAGGAGAATCGAGTAACAGATAGAGTTACCTGAGAGGTTCAGGGGAAGGCGAGATTGGTGCCCTCTGGGACAGATTGAGGAGTGAGAACGAAGCCAACTTTCTCAGGTTCTGTGACAGGACGCGGGTCGCCATAGCCCACTAGTCCTATGCCAACGCATTGAAAAGTGGTGTAGTCAGGAATATTTTGTTGAGTGTGCCTAACTTCATATACCGAAATTTTCTAAGACCGCAAATCCTGTATGAAAGTACAAATTTTAGTTAAAAGTGTGATACAAATATAGGAATAATATCTCATAATATCACTAATCGACAAAAAAAGAGAGAAGATCATATATAAAAGGTCTTACATAAATATAGCAGATTCACATAGAACAAATAAGATGTGTGTGACAGAGGGAGAGAGAAGCACTTGTAGGTTGTGGCATGGCCACTGTCAATGGTGATCGCACAAACTCGTCATGATGGAAATAATGAATATAATGGTTGTAAATACAAGAACATATCACTAGAACGGATGATAATTTAAAGATCTCCGCAATTTCAACTCTAAAAGGTAGTGAATTAAAAAGGCATCGGGTCTGTTTATTACCATTGACTCACATATACCTAGTTTATTACTATGGCATTTCATCGAACACCTTTCTGACATGAAAAAAATAATCAAGAGCAGTACCAGAGGGAGTATAAGAAACAGAGAAAGACAGCATTGTTATCTTGCCACTGCTGAATTACTACTCCACCGATTATCGTAGCACCACCGAAACAGTTAATCGCAGTAATCAATTCAGATTCAAAACCAATAAAAAAGATTGGGGATTTGAGAAAGAGGATTCATAGATGAATTTCTTATCTCACTATGGATGGTATACCCGTGTAGCCAAGGGAGCAAGGGAGGAGGAGCTCTGGTTAGCCGGAGTAGAGGCCGACAGGCGAGAGGGGCAGAGAGCTAGCAGCCTAGCCAACAAGGGCGTGGCGGCCGCCGGCGGGCGCCCCAGCGCTCGCGAGTCGCGAGCGGCGGTGGTCTAGGCAGCTCTTCAATAGGCCGTCAGGGAATCAGGAGAGTCACTCGGCGGGGCGCGGGATTGGATCTGCAGCCGAGGAACGCCGGCGACGGCGCCGGCGAGGGGAGAAGCGGAGCCGGAGGGGAGACGCACGGGGCTTCACGCAGACGCGGCGGCGACGGCGAGTGCCACCAAGCGATGACTGGATGACTGGCCACGGCCCACGGCCCAAGAGTTAAAAGGCCCAACACGTTCGTGGGAATCCCGTTCCAGCCCAACTCGTAGTAAGGCACGCTGCTGTGTCCTTGTTTAAAAAGAATATTTTTCATTTTTAAATTTTTATTTTTTTAATATTTACAGAAATATTTTACCGGCGAAAATATTTACAGAAGTAGACTGAGGGCGGCAGGTGACAGACAAGATGAAAAAAAACTAGAAAAATGCATTTTTAGCAGGGTGAAAATTGCACACACCTTGCCTCCCTCCACTTGGACGGCAGGGGCCATTTCTGTAAATATTTTGGATGGTATAATATTTCTGTAAATATTAAAAAATAAAAATGAAAAAATAAAAAAAAATGTTTTCTTTATATTTTGTTAAAACCCACAAACAAATGTTGAATACAAAAACATATGAATCGAGAATCCTAGCTAGTTCTCGTGAATTTATTCATGTATGTATTTACAAGGATTTCTCCTCCTTGATATAGTATAGTAGACTGTAAAAAGGCGATCAGAATCGTCTTGGCAACCTGCCCTGGGCAATCTTGATATGCATGGAGGAGTTGTAGTGAAACACCTCCGGCTGCATCGTCTCCAGCGACAACACCTCCGACTGCAGGTAGCAGAAGCCGTCGTTGGGGTCGAATCCGTACACGAACTGCGCCGCCATGCACGCGCAGTCGCCCAAGCACGCTGCCTTGCACGCCGCCTCGCCCACCCTCTCCAGCGTCCGCATGCTGGTGTCGTGGCTGTTGAAGTAGGCCGTGTCGCGCAGCGACACCAGCCGGTGCCGCGCGCGCCGGGAACGGCATGTCGCCGGCGGCGCCGGCGGCGACGTCGGGACGCAGCCGCGGTTCGGCCGCCGGAAGTCCACCGCCCGGAAGTTGGCGGCGTCGGGGCAGCTGCACTGCATGTCCGTGCACACGCCGTACGCGCCGCACACCGTCGGGTACGCGCAGTCGCCGGGGTAGGGGTGGAGCACGTCGCCGGTGGCCTCCCATCTCATCCCGTTCGAGCGCCACTCGTAGAGGCGGAGGTGGCCGTCGTGCTCCAGCCGCATGTACTGCACCGTGCCGGCGGCGACGGCGGGGAGCTGGACGGTGGCCAGCTGCTGGCCGCCGGGGCGGTCGAGCACGGCGAGGCTGCCGTTGGTGTACGCCGCGTAGGCGCCGGCGTTCTTGCTGTAGCCAAGGACGTAGTAGCGCTGTGGCGGCTTGGCGTCGACGTAGGCGGCGAGGCCGTCGTCGGCGACGGCGAGGTATATCCTGCCCTCCGACGAGTTGTCAAACGACGCGTTGGCGGTGAGCCGTGCGCCCTGCTTCAGCGACTGCCCGACGACGAGCGTGTCGGTTGGGTGGTCGAACGACTGCCACACCGTCCGGTTGCTCCCGTCGAACAGCACCAGGTTGCCGTCGCTGTTGATGCTCATCCCGGAGACGCCGCGCCCCGCCGCGCCGGCCGACCATAGCACCTTGCCGCCGGGCGATCTCAGGACCAGGTCGCCGTCCGCCGTGAGCTCCGCGGTGGCGCCGTCCCCGACGGGGGCGGCGCGGTTGGCCGACCACACCACCTGCGGGATGCCGGTGGTGACCGCGGTGATCCCGGCGCCGCTGTTGCAGTACACGACGGCGACGCCGAGGAGGAAGTCGGCGCACGGCGCCCCGGCGCGGTGGTTGGTGCAGAAGAAGCCGAAGGCGAAGGAGGGGCCGAGGCGCGCCGGGTTGAGGCGCAGCAGCGCGGCGCGCGCCACGGAGCCGTCGGTGTAGGCGACGTGGTGGCGCAGCGCGGCGTCGGTGTTCGCCCACGTCGTGGACGGCTTCGCCGTCGGGTAGTCGTACGGCTGCGCCTGCGCGCGGAGGAGGCAGAGCGCGAAGCCCACGCCGAGCAGCGCCGCGTGCCGCATCGTTGGTAGAAATGCAAGGAGTTTGATGGTGGTGGTGTGTGGTGCGAGTTGTCGTGGTGGAGGCGAGTCGGAACGTTTTTTTATAGCTTTGGATTGCGTGCACCGTGGTTGGATGGGCGTTTTCCTTGCATGGGCATGCATGGTGCACACCGCGCGCGCCGCTGGTTGAAGACTAGTAGAACAATCTGATACCAACGCGGTGTCGGTGTCAATGCCTATCTGGGAATCAATCCACCGGAGCAAACGCGTAGCGGTGCATTGCGGGCCAGCTGCATGCATGTCTCGTCCCCTCTGTGTTTGACTCTGCTGGCTTAATTCGTTTCGCAGTGCTCAACAGCGAGCAGGTTATAGCAATTGTGGCTTGCGACCACAACGTTTGGTAACGTTCTCCCAAAGCCACTCGTTTATTTTAACACCAAATGATATCCAGGGATGCCTCAGGACTATAAGCTAGCTATAAATATATTTTAATAACATAAAAGAGAAATGAGAAAAACAGTGGGTTACAAATTTATAACCAACTATAACACAGATTTCAAGGCGCGATGTGTATATGACAAATAGGACCAGAAATTAATAGTGTAGTATATGTTCATAGGTAACTATTGTATGATTTAACTAGTATTAAATTGACTATAAATGATTTGGAGTTAGTAGTTGACTATACTATTAGGGTATTCTCAACCCAATGACTAGGATGGTGTCCATAACATTAAATAAGTTGTCACTTAGGACAAAAAATGATGTGGCAAGTGAATAAATGAGGAAAGAGAAAGAAACCATGTCTTGCATGAGACATGGTTTCTACACAACATTCAAGACATCATGTGAGATAAGTAGCATTAAATTGAAGTATGGAATAGTGGTGTTTGTATTGAAAGAGTAGTGTCTAGTACTAGTTTCTTGATGATATAAAATTTATAGAAACCATGTCTAGTGTTCTGGGTTGTGACTGTCCTTAAACTTGCTCTCAGGCCCTAGATTCGTTTGTCATTGTTAACAATTTTTCGAGGAGCTTAGCTCTGGCAACCACTGGCGATTGGGTGTCGGCTAACAATGGTGATCGAGCACGCCACGGCGCGTCGCATCCGCACGCCAAGAACGAAACGAAAAATCCATTACCGCGCCGCTGCGCACACGGGAAAGCAGCAGCCACCGCGGCAGCAAATGCCCAGCCCGGAAGTAGCAGTCAGCGTCTCGCCCCGGCAAGGAGAGATCGTGGGCCTCATGGGCCGCAGCGTGAAGGATAGTCGTTCTTAGACAAATGGGCTACGCAAGGAGAAATCGTGGGCCTCATGGGCCGCAGCGTGAAGGATAGTCCTTCAGAGACAAGTGGGCTTTACATGGGCCTTGAGCCCATGGGCTCAATGTTTCGGCCTATGAAGTAGCCACCGGACAGTAAACGCGGCGTGGCTGCCGTTTTGGCAGCGAAGCGCTATCCACCCAGAGCGGAGCCTTGGCATCCCTACAATGGCGGCACACTCCCACGTCATCCCCTTCCTCTCCCCGGCGGCGACGTCCGCGCGCTGCTCCCCCTACGGCCACCGCCGCCGCGGCCGCGCGGGGCTCCTGCGGTGCGCGGCGGCGGCGGGGCAGGCGGGGTTCTTCACCCGCCTGGGACGCCTCATCCAGGAGAAGGCCAAGAGCGACGTCGAGAAGCTCTTCTCCGGCTTCTCCAAGACCCGCGAGAGCCTCTCCGTCGTCGACGAGCTCCTCACCTACTGGAACCTCGCCGACACCGACCGCGTCCTCGACGAGCTCGAGGAGGCGCGTCCCCTGCTCCACTGCTCTGCATGCTGTTCTCTCCTTCTTCACTGTTCGGCGCTGCTTCTGTCTTCGTTTTTTTTGAATGTTTCCTGCTTGGTCTCGTGCACGCAGGCTCTGCTGGTGTCGGATTTTGGCCCCAAGATTTCGTTCCGGATCGTGGACACTCTACGCGAGGAAATCCGCGATGGCAAGCTCAAGTCTGGGGCTGAGATAAAGGTCATTTCAGTTTCCTCTTAGTGTACATTGACATCGGCATTGTGATTGGTCTGATGATTCATTTTGTCATCTGTGGTGGTTGATTGTGCAGGAAGCGCTGAAAAGGTGTATTCTTGAACTGCTGACGAGCAAAGGCGGCAATCCGGAGCTGCAGCTCGGTTTCAGGTTCTGCTTTCTCCTGAATTCCTGCTCAGTGCCATTTGTTGCTTGCTGTTTGTAATTTGAGCAATGTTGTTCATCGTTATGGCAGAAAGCCGGCAGTTATCATGATTGTGGGAGTGAATGGAGGTGGAAAGACTACCTCATTAGGTACTCCTCTTGCATGCTTGGCTTTGTTAAGCTTAGATGTTTTTGTTCCATTCTGATAGATGGTCAATAAACGGTAACACACTCTCCTATGGTCCTACCCTAGTACCCTACTATATGGACAATTGACATTATGATGATGTTCTAAAGGCACAACACATGGTTATATAGGCACGCAAGTGCATTTGTGAAGGAAAAGATATTTGGTTATAAAAGCACAATACTGTAATTAGGCCATCACAAGATTATCTCTTATACACCAATGTACTAGTTACTCGAAGTGAATTTATCACGCCTATGTAAGGTATTTTCAGCTCAATGCAAAACTACTTGCATATTAAGCTTGGATTGTGGCATAGCATTGGATTAAGCTTCTGCAGGTTATCTTGTCGCTTTAAAGCTAATATGGTACCTAGATAGTAAGGAGCTCCTCAATATGCAGTTCTGGTTCGGGCATTTTCTACCATCTGCATCTGGCATCACTATTTAGTTTGGAACGTTTTATACAGCATGATGCTTTGAAGTGGAAGATTGATCTTACTCCTTTTTTATGTATTTGTAGGAAAACTTGCTTACAGATTCAAGAATGAAGGAGTGAAGGTGAGGCTATTTTCTAGACATACCCTGGTTTATAGGCTAGATGCATGGGAATTAAATTCAGCTATGTACATATTGCCTCACCACATTCTCTGAACATGTAATATTGTACAATAGATCAAAATAATGAGTTCATGTTCATGCTTTCAACAATAATATAGGTATTGATGGCAGCAGGTGATACCTTCAGAGCAGCAGCTCGTGACCAGCTAGAAGTTTGGGCAGAGAGAACAGGTTCAGAGATTGTTATCGATAATGATAAGAAAGCAAAACCTGCATCAGGTATGATTTTTTGATCTGCCAAGCATTGTGATCACACTCTGTTCTCATAAGGAGGTTAGCTTCTATGTTTCATCTAATTTGACTTGCTTGGTAGTTCTCTCGCAGGCAGTGAAGCGCGGGAAGCGTGAAGGATTTGATCTTGTTCTTTGCGACACGTCAGGACGTATGATTATTTTAGTGACTGAGAGCAGAATATGCATATGTTTGGTGATTTGCTGATTGGTTGAAATGACTTTGTTTCAGCACTTATTTTTCAGGACTTCATACAAATTATGGTCTGATGGAAGAATTGGTTTCCTGCAAGAAAGTCATAGCTAAAGCCCTTCCGGGTGCTCCTAATGTATGCTGTGTTTACATGCAAAGGACTTGATTTTGTGTTGATTGGATCATTTTGGCATGTGCAGTACTTTTGAGGGCAAGCTTAGAGAAGCACGGTTATGATTCTAATACTTCATAGCGCTCTCATTGTTATTAACTACTAGCATATATTCCTTGCTTAACAGGAGATCTTGCTGGTTCTGGATGGCACGACTGGCTTGAATATGCTACAACAAGCGAGGGAGTTCAATGATGTAATCACCATTTCCTGGTTATTTTGGTACTCCTGATTTTTCTTTTTTTTTTCATCAAGATATAACGAACTCTGTTGGCTTAATGCCAGGTTGTTGGAGTCACAGGATTCGTCCTAACAAAGCTTGATGGAACTGCTCGTGGTGGTTGTGTGGTATACACATATTCCTTGCCATATGCAGTTTATAAACAACAACATTTTAGTGGTTCACCTGAATTTTGTTGTTTGATCTATTGCAGGTTAGCGTTGTAGATGAACTTGGAATTCCAGTAAAGTTTATTGGTGTTGGTGAAGGGATGGAGGATCTTCAGCCTTTTGATGCTGAGGCATTTGTTGAAGCCATTTTTCCTTGAGCTAGGACGCTTTGTTTTTTGAGATGGAGAATTTGAAGTTTCGGAGAGAGCATGTTTGCTTACTTGTACATCATTCTGGTTTTTCACTCCTGTGACAATTTCACTATGTGTCCATCCTTTCATGTAATATATATTTGCTAACATGCTAGGAAATTAGAAGCAAAATTTTGGACCATCACAGTTTTGTTCAGTGTTGTGTCACTTCTGGTTTCTCCCATTGATCCTCTGACTGAAGCCTATGCACATGCATGAACAAGTATCTAACAGTTTTGGGCTTAAAATATGGACCATACTGTCACAAGATTTGTTGGGCTTCAAATCAAAACAGCATATAAATTCTGAAAAACAAATTAACCAAAGTTTTACGTGTTCTATGGTAAAAATCAGTAGAATTCTTCGAGTCAGTTTGCAGTCCATTTAACCGCTCATCCTTTCAGCGCGCGGTCGAGATAGGCTGACCATCCCTTAGGTCCTGTAATTTTCTCCAATAAGAGTTGGATAAAGATAAATATTTTCGTGTCACGCTTTTCAAACTGCTAAACGGTATGTTTCGTGCGAAAACTTTCTATATGAAAGTTGCTCTCAAATATCATATTAATCTATTTTTCAAGTTTGTAATAATTAAAACTCAATCAATCATACGTTAATACCACCTTATTTTGTGTAAAAAACTTAATCTTCATCTTTAGGAGAAAAGAATATCACCTTAGAAAACATATGACCCATGATTTCGGCGAATCCCATTTAAGCCCAAATATGCTATCCCGTTCCGGCCAAAAGATGAGAGTGTCACAAATTCTTACGATGACGGTGCTCCGTGCTCGCATCTAAGGTGCGAAAGGTGCAAGGAAATAGAAAATTAGAAAAAAAAATGAGGATCTATGTAGGAATACAATCTAAGTAGAAAATACAATATAGAAATAACCAGTAGAATGCATGTACTTCTTTATGGGATTAAAGGAGAAAATCAAATGTTGTGGAATAATTATATTGCTTATCATTGTAAATATAGAGTATATGAGTATTAATTAGATGTGCATGTTGCAAAAAGTAATCAATGCGACTTTATTGTGGCTTGTGACCATTGTTTATTTTAATCATTCTCATCCACTCCAAAGACCCAAGTTCATCTTTGGTACAGTTGAAAAAAAAACTCAGTCCATCACAATTGAAAAGCAGCTCTTTGGCAGCTAGCCCAAGTCTATTCTCTTTCAGCTCTCAAAGGCAAGGAAATTCAAATTTTTCAATGATAAATAGGGGTCCACACGTCAATGATAGGAGTGGTAGCGGCAGATTTACTGTCATCACCACTACCAATATTTAAAGTGGTATAGATAAAAAAATTGGATTAAAAATTAAGAAATATTGAAAGGAGATCTAAAACATAATGGTGGCAAATGCTAAGGGTCATGGTGGTTGATAGGATTTTTAGAAAGTAAAAAAGGGAACCTCAACGATGACCAGATTTGAAATGAGAATAAAAATGGGGACAACAGACTAATCGTAAAATAGTACAATAACAACGTTTGACTAGATTTCTAAAAATATAAAAAGGAAACGCGAAGCTATAAGATCCGATTTTGAAAGGTCTAAATAATACTACCTCCGTCCCAAAATAATTGCATTTCTATTATTTAAAATTCGTCCCAAAATAATTGTAATTCTAGAGTACTAATTGCCCCATCAATCATATCTCATTCAAATTTCTCCCTATTTTACCCTCAACCATCTTCCCACTCTCACATAAACACCATTTAATGAGGGGCACCGTAGTCTTTCTTCTCAAACCTTAATATATGCTAAATAACATAGAATTGCAATTATTTTGGGACGGAGGTAGTAATGAATAGTAGCCGTGTCATGGACAAGTAAATAAAAAGCCGACAAAGGAGTAAGGGGTGAAGTAAAGACAAAGGAGTAAGGGGTGAAGTAACTTTTAAAAACTATAAAATTAGAAACTAGATATATTTTTTTAATGCTAAGACAAGAAGATGATTATTTTTAAAAAAATAAAAAAAATCATGTTTTAAAAAATAAATAATTTTATATGGGTTCTAACCGCACAATACACCCGGCTAGTTTTCTCATAAAAGGAGATTATGGGCAAATTGCCATTATCTAATGGCAGGACTACCAACACGAAGTTTTGATCCTGATAACAAACTTTTCATGTCTTTCCACATTCTTGCAGTAATAATAATACTAGTACATCAAACATTGGGAATCACATCAGTGCCATACTATACAGCTAGTCATAAACATCATACTTCCGAGAGATGCCTGGATCTGAATACACCATGCAAAAAGTATATCTCAAATACAACATCAGAGGTTCTTTCAACATACAGAGTCCTACCGGAAGGGCATTTGCTGCTCATGATACCGCCGTGCTATTGCCAGTTTCCATACTGTTGTTGATTGCGAGAACCACCTTGATTATAGTTCGGGCCTCGACCTGGACCAGATGCACCATAAGGTCCACCCTGTTGATAATTTGGTCCGCCAACACCATAGCCACTGCCACCACCACCCCTCGGACCACCGGCTCCGCCCATGCCACCACCAGGATAAGGGGGAGGACCTCGTCCTTGCTGTGGATATGGGCCACTCCCATAGCCTCCTCCCTGTCCACCGCGGTTCGGATTGTAGCCTCCTTGGTTCCCGCCTTGTGGGTACCTATTAGGGCCTCCAGGTCCTCGCGGCTTTGCATAGTGATGACTTGGGCCAGCTGCCACAGGTGGTGCATTATGCATAGGCTGGCCAGGCCTGATTTGGTGTGGTTGGCCTGGGTTCTGGATTGGAGGCAAACGGGAATGTGGTGGAGGATGCTGCAATTTCTGGCGCTTTGCGGCTTCCTCTGCTTGCCTCTGCTGCTGGCGTTTTTTCTTAGTTTGGAACTCATGAGACGCCTCATACTTCGGCAAGCTGTATCAGATGCAAAGTTATTAGAATTAAGCTAGTTAGCAGCGTGACAAATTTAACCATCATATGTACCTCTTTGGATCACACGGTAAGGGATCAGTCCAGAAATACTCCGCGTCAAGTGCATCTTTTGCCGATATCCTCTGTATAACCAAAATGATTGTCAATATATAGAACAAAAAGCAAACAGAAATGATAAGTGACACGTCTGAAAAGTCACAACTGGTTAATGCAGCATACCTGTGATGGATCCAAAGTTAACATCTTCTCTAAAAGATCCAGCGCGTGCTGATCAAAGCTGCAAATATGTAAAACAGTGAACATCAATGGCAAGACGAAAGCTGCATAAGAAAAACATTGCCAAGCATAGCACTCACTGCTTAAAGGACTCTTTAACCCGTCTCTTCATTGGTCGTTGAGGCTTGAAATTGTTGTACCATGGCATTTTTGTGACACCAGGCCAGATTAACTCGTCGGGCGTACCACAAAGCTCAAAAATTTTAGACAGTTGCTCTGGCTGCAGTAATAGCATAAAATCAGATGAGGTTAGGAGTTATAACTATTGCATGGACAAACAATGTGCAGTGCATGTAATCAATGCGTAGGGGAAACGGTTTTACAAAATTAAATCAAGACTGCATCTGCATGATAACTGACAGTTCAATTTTCCAATCCCCAAAATGAGGGAAGAAACAATAAACATGTATCAGCACAAATAATGCACTAAGGAGGGAAATGAAAAACTAAAATGCAACGGCACTTCAGTTATCCAATTGATAGCTCAAAGCTTCAAGATGCAATACCTCATTCTTTCCTGTCAATATTGGCTTTCCATTGAGAAGCTCAGCAAAAATACAACCCACTGACCACATGTCAACGGCTGGACCATACCTCGTGCTCCCGAGTAACAACTCAGGAGGTCTGCATACACAAATAAGAGAGAGAGAACAATGAAAAGAAAGTAAGAGAAATATGAATGGAAGAACCTCCTCATGGGAAGTTTCCATACCTATACCACAAAGTGATCACACGGTTTGTTAAGTTTCCATTGTGGTCACTTGAGAATGATCTTGCAAGGCCAAAATCAGCAAGCTTCAAGTTACCCTCATTGTCTATCAAGAGGTTAGATCCTGCAAGAAAGAACGGATACAACATATTAGTTCAGGGAAAAAACTGATATACATGCAAGAAGTAGGAACAAACAAGATATCTCTAAAGAAGGAACCTTTAATATCTCTATGCAGCACTTGATTAACATGGCAATAGTGCAGGCCTGTAAGTAGCTGCCTCATGTAACACTGGGACGATAGAAGATCACACATCAGAAGATCAGTCTGTCATAACAAAATATATCACATCCAAACAAGAACAAGTCACACAAACAGGTGGTTCTACCTTAATCTGAGGCACAGTGAACCGCATCCCAGGCCTATCTGCAAGCCCAGTAAGATCATGATCCATGTACTCGAAGACCATGTAGATGCTCCCCTTGTACTTGTTACCCTCGACTATTTCAACAAGATGACAATGCATCAGACATTACAACCTAGAACCACTCCCACAAACCAAGGAATTGCAGGAATAAAATGTGCCATACTTGGCTTCCCTTGCTCATCTCGCTCTGGGCCTGAAAAGGCATATAGTTTCCAAATTCAATTAGCACCAAAAATGGACTCGGTTCTGATACATCAAAACCAACCGTGCTTGCGACGATGAAACTAACCTGGAGAGGTGACGATCTCCTTGAGCTGGATAACGTTCTGGTGGTGGAGCTTCTTCAAAATCTTGATCTCGCGTATGGCCGTGATGGGGAACTGCGCCGAGGCAATCAGCAACACGTCATCAGAGAGGAAAAATTGGAAGAAGGGGCGGAGAAAAAAAAAGGGGGGGGGGGGGGGGAATTCATACGCCTTCGCGCTCGTTGTCCATGCGGATCTTCTTGAGCGCGACGATCTCGTTCGTCTCCGTCTCCTTGGCCATGTAAACTTGCCTAAACAACGGGCGAGCGAGAGAGAATCCAATCAGACGAGCAATCCCCCTCGATTCATGGCTAGGGTTTGAGCGAAATGTTTTTACCCGTAGGTGCCCTCGCCGATCTGCTCGAGCTTCTCGAAGCAGTCGACGCTGCGGGAGCCCCACGAGGGGGACTCGTCGAGGTTGAGCTGGCCGGGCGCCGCCACCGCCATGGCCGCCGGAACCGAGCGAGGCTGACCCCCTCCTCCTCCTTCCTCTCGACGCCTGAGCTGAAGCTGCGTGGTGTGCTAGCTAACCCTAGCTAAGCCGCAAGGTTGGTTTGGACCCGAAGTCGCCGAGTCGGACTCCCTCCGCGTCTAGACCTGTCTGACTGAGTCGGAAAAGCAGAAAGAGCACAACTATATTACTACTATTTTTTTCCTTACTAAATTTTTTACTTAGGTAGATGAGTTATAAAAATTCTAGATGCACTCACAGCATTACTAAGGTTGTGTTTGAGAGGAGAAAAAAAGAGAAGTTTAAGAAGATACGTAAAACAAGGTGAGCTATTAGAACAGGTACAATAACAGACTATTAGCCAGCTATAAACATATTTTAATGAGATAAAATATGATAGAGAAGAGAATCGGGCTACAGATATGTAGCCAGCTGCAGCACGGATTCCAAGACGTAGTGTGTGTATAAATTGGCTATATATGGTGAGACCATATATAAAGAGTATAGTAATCAACTATTGTATGAATTGGCTATTAGATTAACTATATATGAATTGGAGCTAGTAGTGGGCTATATTATTAAACTTGCTCTTAGCGCATGATTAATTGAGTGTTAACTATTTCAAATATAAAAATAGATTAATATGATTTTTAAAGCAATTTTTAAATTTTTTTTTAAAAAAACACATCGTTTAGTAGTTCAGGAAGCATGCGCGTGAAGAACGAGAGAAATCTCCTCTTAGTCTCTTGCTACTGAACGAAGCCTAAGAATTTGCAAATTTGCCACCGTTTTTTTCAATTTTGCAAGTATGCCACTCGAATGACAGTTCTAATTGCATTTTTGCAATTTTTTAGTGGCGTTTTTGCAATAACGATTCAAAGTAGTAGTAAATTTACAATTACCCCAAGAATTTACTGGTAAGAAAGAGTTAGTAATAATTTAGTAAGAAAAAGTGTGTAGGCTTTTCCATGTAAGAAATGGATAAAAGGGCCTTGGTCTAAGTTGGGTAAATTTAAAGATATTTTCGAATCAAATTGTATAAAAACACGCTAAAAAACACATTCCATAATTTTACGTGTAGTTTATAGAGACAGACAGTGCGATGATACGCGTCAGGGGTGAAAAATTTTATCGTATCACATCGGTTATACGGATACACATGTATCACATCGGTTATACGGATACACATTTAAAGTATTAAACGTAGTATAATAACAAAACAAATTACAGAATACGCCTGTAAACTGCGAGACAAATTTTTTAAGCCTAATTAATCCGTTATTAGCAAATATTTATTGTAGCACCACATTGTCAAATCATGAAGCAATTAGGCTTAAAGGATTCGTCTCGTAAATTAGTCGTAATCTGTACAATTAGTTATTTTTTAACTTATATTTAATACTTCATGCAGGTATTTAAACGTTTGACATGACATGGTGAAAAATTTTGGGGTAGGACCTAAACCGAGCTTGCTCTACACTTCAACAGGATGAAATGTCATAATTCGGAGTTGTATTCTTTAGAAAAAAAAATCAATTTGGATCTGTATGGCTCTGGATGTAAACTGTGCAAAAGTAATGAGTAAACCTGATTGACAACGCCAGCCAAATGACAGCATATTGTCCGGCTTGTGGATGACTGAAACAAACAAGTCAAAATTTCACCTGCGTATAAATTGTAATACAACACTGAAGGGATGCCCCCTAGATCAATAGTTTCGTATGATTCAATCCACCCACAAGTCAAAATTTTAATGTACAACTAGGTGGATTCTCAATCGACACCACTGCTCTCTTTTACTAACGCAGACAGTGCGCATTCCCTGAAGTGAAGATTTGCTCCTTTTAACTGACGCAGATTCCCTGAAGAATTGCTCCTTTTAGCCAGCTACCTTCTCTATCGCAGTTCTCAAAAGTCCTAAAGGAATCAAGGTGCATGCAAATTTCAAGGTCCCGGCATGGACTCAACTAAAGGACCTGACCTTGCCGGTGAAAGATATGAGGCTAACAAGAAGCGTTTATGCAGCTTGATAGCTGGATGGTGCAAATGACAGCCTTGGCTTTCATGTTGTTGCTGCAGTTCTAGGCTTCTTGAATCTAGAAGAGCGATCAGATGCTTTACCCCCACGATTTTGTGTCTTGTCGAACTTACCAGTTCTGTTTCTTTTGTTGAAACCTTGAGGTTTGTCGCCCTTGGTATTTTGGCCATTTCCTGGCCGTGGTTCAGATTTGGATTTGAAATTAGTTCTATCACCATTGCGGCCTGATGGTTTGCTTCGTTGGCTTTTCACACCAGGAGAGCGAGCATTCCTGGCCCCTTTAACGAAGAATTCCTTCTTTCCAGCTGGCAAACTCCTCGATGGCGCCCGAGTGTGTGTTCCCTCTTGTCCAGTTCCAACATCAGAATCAGACCGTTTTCTTCTGCATACATACGAATTCATAAAACATACAATTAACTACTATTAACATGTAATGGTAAGGGGGGAAGGGAAATTAGCTAAGTGCTGCAGGCTAACCTCTTAGCAGCATGTTGCGTAGGTTGTTGTGCCTCAGACTCTGCGCCATCTGCTGGATTATGATTTCCCTTGCGGCCCTGCAAGTTGAAAGAATGAGAGCCGTTCAAGGAACTGTCCAGAATCCAAATCAGTTGCCTCAAGAAAATATTGAGTTCAATATCAGAGTTGTCTTAGGCTGAATTTCAGAAGTACCGAGATATGCCTTTGTAACTAGGATGTACATCAGTTTCAAAAATAAATCATGCAAAGGTACAAGTTCATATTGTCGAAGGATGCAGTTTTTGTAACATTGTAACCCAAACAAGAAATTATGTTGGGGGGAGGGGAAAAATATTACCAAACTTCTTAAACGCACACAGTTCTTCTCTATTCCTCTCTTTAAGGGCGGTCAAAGTAAAGAAACATGGCTCATTGCTACACAAATTTAGCTTAATACTGCATTTAAGGATAATCCAGTTGAACCACACATTTGATAACATGCTAACCAGTCCATACATCAGGATCAAGAGTGAAGTAAAGCCTCAACATTACAAGAGGTGGGTTAAATAGGTCCTTAAAACAAAAAAAAAACTTGCTCCTTGATGTGTGTATGTTATGCTACAATTAATGCAAACGTTTGTGAGATCACATACCAGAAATAGCTTTGCATAGTAAATTATGATTAAAGATTGTGCTAATTTATTACTTCGTTGGTTTGCTGTCTTTCCTTCAGACAGTAGCCAATAGTCATGTAATCATCATCCCTTAGATCAAGCATTGACTTTATAGCTTATGCAGTCTGTACTAAACTTTCCTGTGCAGCTGTACTAAACTTTTTCATATTAATTAAGGAATGAGAAGCTCTCCAAAATGGGTCAGTTGACCTCCCCACATTCTAGTGTTGTATACTATAAAAGTAGGCCAAGAAGCCCAAATAAAGTAAAATTTTGAAGAAATTGACCCTATAAAGCATTTATATTTATATTCGATAAATGTGCATCAGTAATTGACCTGGAGCACCAGCGGCTAATTGCGTATTGGCTAAATTCACTATAGCTACTAGTTTCCCAAGCTAGACCAAGCAAGTAAAGGGAATCTGACCTCTTCAACGCTTCTAACAAAAGCCTTGTACTTTTCAGGTGTAACTAAGTCGATAGCATCAAAGCCACATTTCCTAATCAGTATTTCCATTATTAACACAACCTGCAAATTAAATATCAGAGCAACACAATGTCATATTAATTACCCTTAAGAAAAATAAGATTGAATGGGAAAAAAGACACAGGATAATTTTACTGACTAACCTTTCCTTTGAAATGGTGTTTTGTAACAGACGACCATGGTAATATGCCGCTCATGATATCTGCTTGCAATTCCAACAGTTTTTCTGAATGCAATGATGTTACCAACACCTTTACAAAGCCCAAAGATGCCTAAAACATGTAGGATTGAACCGATTTAACTCTCAATAATATGAAAACAATTAAGAGAGGCACACAATGAAACATTACTCACCTTGATTACTTCAATAGCTTTATGCTTCAGCAAAACTAAAACTGATGGTATCAGATTTGGAACTTCCAAGCAAAAGTTAGCATCATTGTATATAAGCAGCGATAGTGCAGCTATTGCCCCACTCACTATGTGTGGAGCTGGACTTGAAAGATATCCCATCACCTGAAAAATAACAAGATTTTAAATCAACTCCAAGTTTGAACTATAAAAATCTTACAGCATTAAATACACAGATGGTTGATTGTAAATCAATTCCAAGTTCAACAAGGAAAGTCCTGCATATTAGACATGTAAATGATCTTCCTATGAACTTCCCATATGAAATTATATTGCTTGTTTTTCACGAAAATGGTACTGCTAACTCAAAATAAAGTTGTCGAAATGGTACTGCTAACTCAAAATAAAGTTGTGCCATATTGATATCACAACTTTACAGATAATTCTTAGTACTAGTATATATTATGGACACATTCTTTAATAAAAAAAAACATTAGGCATGACAAGTCTCTAGCATGTACTGATTGGGCATGACAAATCTGTCATGTGGTGCTAAAGCAACAAAACAGGAAACAGTTTGCATGATCTCAACTCCTAACATGGTAAACTGCAAGCAAAGCAACTATAACTCTCAGGTCCTCAGGACACAAGTAAAACTCTGGCCTCACATTTAAAACTGATGACTAAAACAAATTCCAATAAAAGTCTAGTCTTCTAGGTCAGTTAGTAAGTTATTGGCAGAAAATCATTGTAATGATCCTAGGGCTTGAGGCTCTCTCAGATATAACTAATTAGATATACACTCAAAAGCTTGGCAGCTGCGAATTGTTAATCCTTTGTACATTGGAGTCTGAGAGAGTTTTTCTACAAGCTGAATGCACTAAGCAATTCATAAGGATGAGAGGACCTAGTGGTACAACTCTTCAGATTACATAGACATTAAGTTCAAACAATAGAAATGGAGAACATGTTCCCAGATTTCCTTCATGAAAAGCAAAATGATTCTTTTAGGTGTTATGATAAGGATATGATTTTTTTTTTTTAAAAAAGAAGTATTTGCATCCCTCTGACAAGGTAACTTCACCAATTATGCCAGATAAAATCATAAAACATAAGGGATACCTTCAGAGCAGAGAGAACTTTTCTTTAACATACCATTGTGAATAGTCGTTGAAGATCTGAATCTTCACTGTTTGACTCAGAGCTTCTCAAGCTATTACTAATAGCCAGGAGTACATCATATGCCAATCTTCTACTTTCCTTCTTGGACTGCGTACGGAGAAAAGGTGGGTCAGGATAAAATAAAGCAGATGATGACAGCAGGGCAAGAACAATTGTCATCAGTGGTCGTGTGTATATTTTAAGAACCTTGCTTTTAAGTTTTTGAAAGAGGAAAACTATCCATCTAATAGCAAAAGGCTTGTGACTGACATGATATATCCTCCTGATACATAATTGGTAACTGATAAAAAAAGGTAGGGAATAAACCTTCAACGCGACTATTAACTCGTTTAGAATCAGGAACGCCTTCTTGCTCGTGTTCTCTTCATTAGCCTTACAACGCAGAAAAGAAGTCAGACAAACATACATTACATAAATATACAAGCAGGATTGGTAACATCAAACCAAAATAGCATAGAACTAGACTATAGGTACACATCATAGACAAGGTGGGATAAATGCCATCAAAGTGTTGATGGTTCAATACTCTCTTTGCAGTAGACTCATCCAATCCAGAAGACATCCGAACTAATCCATTATGTTATTATAATCAGTTCAAAGAAATATTTATAGATGTACAATGCACCTCTAGCTACCACAGATATTGTAGTGCTTTGATATTTTCTAGTCGTGTGTTTATTACAGTTATAGCAATTACATACATTCTAGAGGTCTACTTTCTGTGCAATTTAAGTTGAATAGTTCTGAGCATTTATATTATTAGACATATAAAATTTTGCTGCTTTGAAGTAGATGTGAACAAATTGTTTAATTACTTAACTGAAATTTCAATGTATGGATATTATATTAGCACCAAGTAGGATATAATTTACATGTTTATGCGCGAACAGTACAAATTGACTAAACAACAAAACTCTCCAAGTACTAAACATGACATGCAGGCAGAACAACATGTTCTTTTGCTACAACAGATGCTTTCTATTCAGGGCAAACAAGGTGTGAGGCTTTGGCTTCTGCACAATGGTTCAGAGATCAACATAGAACAACCTTGAAATTCCACAATCCAAGTCATCAAAAAGGAAAGATCTAGATAATGTGCTACATCAAAGATTATTGCAAGAGGGGGGAAAACCTGTCAAACCTACCTTAATCATGTGAACCAACAAATACTGGTAGCATAATAATTGGCCTTCTAAAACTTCATTATCCAAGTCTGCCTTTATTCCATGAAGAAGCATCATTATTTCATCCAACCGAGCCAAAGAATATTCATTGTGTTCCTGAAAAAAAGAAGAAAGGGATGGTGGCTAATAAGAAAAAGCATAGTCATAAAAATTACGCAAGAGGGTCCCACACAGTCATACTGACCTTCAAAATTATGCTTAGAGCAAATAGAGCTTTGCCCTCACAAGGTTGCTTGTTGTTCTGTGAAGAACAGATAAACTGGTATGAGCATGAATGCTCCGATAAGAGTTGGGTTAACAAGAGAACAAATTAATAAGCTGTACCAGTAAAGAAGATTTGACAAATCCAAAAAGCAAATCAAGCAGATCCTCGTCAGCAGCTTCAGCGAATGTCGAAATAAGTTCCATTACAAGAGACCTACACAAGTAGAGTTACAATCATACCATGTATAATACACACACGCTAGCAGAAAGTAACCATGTGTGAATCAATACATGATGACGGAAATAATCATATAGTCCCACCATTGAAAAATGTAGGGCATGCAATTTGAATAGGTTTGTTGATAAATATCATCCTAGAATGCAAATTTAATGAGCATTTCCCTAACATTAATAGGAGTAATTGCTTATATGGTTCAAACCAAAAAGAATTAAAAAGGTACCGCTGAGAGCCAGGCAAGTTTGATGGTTTATGTTCTTTTTCTACAGAATGAGTAACCTACATTGAAAACAAACATCATAGATGCATAAAGGAATAATAGCAGACCTCTTTTTATTTTTCTCCTCATCTACATCAGTACCCTCTTCATCCTTCTTGTCTACCTCATTAGTTTGGCATTCAATATTCTCTTGCTCTGACTGAGTATCTTCTAAACCAAATCTTTTAACCAGTGAAAGGAAAAGGTTGCAAATGTTCGTGCTACCAGAAAGTTGAGCCAAACATCTCAATGCATCCTGCAAGAAGACAAAGATGATATGATAAATATTGTGCAATATGTAGTCTAAAAACTAATGTTGTTTTCAGGGATAAATAGAAGGTGTGCTAGAGCAAAGGGTACATAACCTAATTTACTGACACAACTAGTACAGCTCAACCTCTCCCAGGTACAAACAGCTAAGGAAGTTGGAGAAATCATGTATTCAAGGTAAAACTGTATTTTGTTAATATACACTACAAGAATACAGTGCATCAAAGTATCAAACCAACTGTAACAAGTATTCAGTGCCATTGGACTGAGCCATTCATGGGCACACCGTGCACATGGATATGGAATAACCAACTGGACCAGGATATTAATCTCTCAGACATTTTTCACTTGGTATTTGCTATTTAGTCATTTGAGTGCGCCTTGCTGAGAAGAAATAAGGTTGTGGTTCCTTTTCTTATGTATTGATAATAATATGCAAAAGTGCATTTATAAAATTTACTTATATAACTCATCCCTGATACACCTTTATTGGTTTTATCTATATCAACCAAACATGGTTAAATGATAGTAAAAAAGTACAAACACAACAAAATAACCATGTTCTACTAATATAATCTCTCTTTAATTGTGTAGGGCACAGCCTGCAGCAGTCAATATTGGGCTGCATCAAGCGGCGTTAAGCCTTTCTCAAGTTTGTGACACAAAACCTCATTTAAATCAGTGGTACTCTAATGTGCATAGATCAATCAAACTTCAAATGCCAAATAATAGAAAATACAGTAATGTTTCAATATGTGAGTCCGTCCGTGACTGATTTAAGTAGGGGTTTTTTAGACTTAATTGGTTTGAAGACATCTAACATGCTCATCAACTGATAATAATTAGAAATATTAAGTGACACACCTTCAAATGAGAACGCTTCTCTGGTGAAGAATCTAGAAAATAATCTGTGACAGTAGAAAGAAGATACACAGAATGTGATGCCAGAACTTTCATGTTCTTACGAGCATCTTTTTTAGAGCACCTCTCAAAGCTTGGGCAGCTTAAGTTAATAATTTTCGAGGAGAACAAAGTAGAAAGCTCCACATATATTTCTCTGTTTTGCTCACTGCTACTTAATCTTCTAGTTCCATCTACAAGTTGCTGAGAAAAATAAAACATGTTGTCTGAGAGAAGACATGGAGCAGCCTTGTAGTTCGAAATTCCAGAAAGAAAATGAGTATAGATAAGATAAGAAAAATGCAGTATATCTGTAAATGAAAACTGCACCTGCAGGGCTTTAACAGCGGATTTGTACAGATACTTGTCACATTTCAACATCTCTAGTAGCAACTTGGATAGAGAACCGAAATTCTGACATATATCAACTGGGTAGCGGCAGAAGGCAGGAAGCAAATTCCACAGCTGATTGGAACATGATTTCAAGTCTTCACATTTCCGTGCTGACTTGGCTGAAGTTAAAGCAGAAGGTTAGGAAATCATGTTGCGTATGTATTTAAGACCTAATGAATTGGCTTTACCTACCCATGTTAGAAGCTTGTTGTACAGATTCTGCTAGAGGTACAATGCGCTCTAGGAATTGTTGTGGTGAGGCCCCATAGATATACTTATCTAAAATGGGCAGAAGCCAAGTATTTGAGCATGTTAGCCGGTCCTCATCAAAACCTATTGGAATTAGTGAAAGGATTTTATCTGGCCCCAAAGCAATGACAGCTGCCCCAATGCACTCTTCAACCTGAAAACACGACAAGTTAAATGAAATTTCAATAATTCAATGCTCAAGCCTTTTTCAGTTATGATATGACTACAATAATCTTATAAACTTCTCGTTTTTATTCTGTACTTAAACTTTCACAGGCATTATGGCTCTAGCTTCCTATTTGGAGTGAAAGTTTCTGAGGTCTGGATTCTCCCATGGGAGGAACTGAAACATAAGCATTGCCATGAAATAGTTTCAATGCTCATGTACATGGTATATGTACGCAGTACACACAAAGAAGCAAATAGATGCTCTATCTTTGATGTGAGAACAATCAAGAAATAAACTTACATTCTTCCGCTCTGATTCTTTGTCTGTTTTCGCAGCGATTTGTGACAATGTAAGTATTATATTTTTCATAAAGGCATACGAACTCTCCCCTGGAGAAGAACCAAACAATATAGATGAGTTAATTAAGCAAATGAATCATAAAAAGCAGGCAATATCATACATCAAAAAAGTCGACCAATGTATGACAATATAGAAAGTCAAAAGGTACTGGGAGAGTGTGTCAATATTTCATGTCTAAATTAGCTTTGTAGGTACTTGCACTAGTAAATACTCCCTCCATTTCAAGATATAAGCATTTCTAGGTGTTTTAGCAAAGATTAAGGTTTGAGTAGGAAAGACCATGCCCCTTATTAAATGAGGTATGTTTGGGGGTAATATGGGAAGAAAATTGAATGAGTGGTTGATGGGACAAGTAATATTCTAGGAGTGCTTATATTTTGGTAAAATTTCAAATGCTACGAGTGCTTATATTTTGGAACAAAGGGAGCGGTAAACAATTTTTTTTTAGTTTTTTGTGGTGCAAGATGTGATTATTTATAATCAACATACATATTTTACGAAATGGTGCATGCTGGAATTCACATGAGATAGAATAAATGGTATCTAGTGTTTCATGTATAGATTATAGAGAATATGTATATACTCCCTCTGTTTCATATTATAAGACTTTCTAGCATTGCCCATATTCATATAGATGTTAATGAATCTAGACACACATATATATATGTGTCTAGATTCATTAACATATATGAATATAGATGTTAATGAATCTAAACACACACATATATATGTGTGTCTAGATTCATATATATGTTAATGAATCTAGACACATATATATATGTGTGTCTAGATTCATTAACATCTATATGAATGTGAGCAATGCTAGAAAGACTTATAATATGAAACGGAGGAAGTAAAAATTAGAGGTACCTACTGTTTCATGTATAACAAATTGTTCTTTACAGAGAAGGTTATTACTTCTACAGTTCTAGTCTTCTACATATTCTCGAATGGTTATTATATACACTGGTACAGTTATAGGCAAAAGATACTTTACTGAAATTATTGAAGCCATACCAAGTTTCAGAAACAAAACCAAGGCCGTTGTTAAGATACTATTGGGAGGAGAAGCACATGCGCAAAGCATGTTATTAATCGATGAACAGATTGATTTAACAGCAGCCGCATCACTTAAGCTCTCATAATCACGATCGCATAACTGTGATCCAGTCAAAATAATATTCCGGTCAATATGAGAATCAATACAGTCTTGTAGCAGTCCTGCTATATCTTCAGAACATTTTCTGTCCAGAATCAGGTATCCTGCCCATTTCAAAATTTTACCAAGTTAGCTCTGGGACTGTTATCCATTACAATACATATAATGAACTAGATGACACCCCACACATTGCAGCAGGATATTGTTCTGTGCAATGCAGTTGCAAAATTTCAATACACACACACACAAAATATTATGGACTGATTTGAATTGTAAAAGCACCATCCAAGGGTGTTAATAAAAGGATGAGGCCATGACTTTTTATAGAAATAACTACACTAAGTGACTCAATGAATATTGAGATATATGCTAATTAATGAGAGAGAGTAACTACGGAATGGATGGTTGTGATTAAGCATGAAGATGATCCAATGCCTCTTGTTTTGGCGGGTGATGTAGCTCAATGCATGTTGACCTATTGGTTCCAACCATATATGATATATAGACAAGACAATGTCTAAATACACTTATCAGAACAATAGCAGTGAACTAAATCCACCAAAATGGGTTGATCCGCAGGAATACCAACTCTTATCTGATAAACATAAGTATTCATTAGAAGAAAGGCAGCATACAACATTAGCATGTGGTAACTCAAAGTTAGTTAACTGTCGTTGTCAAGAAAGAGCAAAGAGATAAGTTTTTTCCCCCTCAGATGCACCAGTGCAAAATGGAACTGGAGGAAACATGTTTGAGGACCATAGGTTCAACGTGCCCCATCAATGATAACCATAATAACTCAAACACAAGTATGTCAACTGAAAACTCATAAAAGAAGCATTATCATATTGAAATGTTGACAGGTGAAACTGTAGATGCACAGACCTGAAACTGCCTCAAATGCAGATGGAAGAACCTCCATCCACAAATTTGGTCGACCAACTAGTTTCGCCAAGCAATTTTTCATCAGCTTCAATGCTGCGACAATGGTATCATCAGGCTTCTTTTCATCATAATTCAGGTATGCCAACAACAATGGGATAAGATTCACCAAGTCTGACTCAACATTCTCAGCCTTCAGATGGTCCAACAAGGTCTCCATAAGCTTCAAGACATGCCTTGTAAGTGGACTAAAACAAGGGGTTAACAGCTGATAAACTTCTGAAAACACAGTCTTCATTGCCTTCTTTGATAGGTATGGAACTACAACAACCATTGCACTTAGCATATTTGCAGCCTCCATCTCCTTACCCTCAGAAGCATCTGAATTCAAATTGACATGATTTTTCACAGATGCAATGTGCTTATCAAACATGCCAATTGCAGCATTACTAACTTTCTTCCCACAACCACATTGTTTCAAGTGCGCAAATAGCTTCTCCACACTCTCCTGTGCACACCTTCGAACCTACCAAGCAAAGAGTGACAACCACATGAGCATGGTCCTCAAGTATGTGTGGCAAAAGCTCTTAGCGTCCTCACCTTGGCCCGCTGGTCGACGGAAGCAGCAAGGAGAGCCTCCAGAGGAGAGGCCACAGAGCCCCAATCGGCTGCAGCGTCGACATGGAAAGCCAAATGGCCAAGGGACTTGACCACCGAGCGCACGGTGCCGGTGGGTAGCTGGGATGCATCGGGCGAGGAGAGGAAGACGGCGAGCGCTGAGGCAGATTCGGAGGCGGACGCTGGCGGGAGAGACGATGGGGACGAGGGGATATTGGGCAGGAGGATGACGAGGAGGGAGGCAAGGGCGGAAGCGGCGGCGGGGTCAGCCGAGCCGGCGGCTTGGAGGGCCGAGATGGCGGCGGGGAGGTAGGATGCTGGCGTCACGGGGAGGCCGTCGTCGACGAGAATGGAGCGTATGGCGGCGGCGGAGGCGAGGAGGTGGCGGTGCTGCGGGGCGGTGGAGCGGCCGTAGCGCGCGGTGAGGGCGGCGCAGACGTCACCCGAGAAGGCCTCGAGAGGGAGCGGGGCTTGGGAGGGCTCGTCGGCGTCGACTTCGGCGGCGGCGTCGGCGGCGGCGGGCTTCTGCTTCCGCTTCATGGCCGACGACGCGACACACCGGCCGGAGAAGGGTTTTGGACGCGGCGGCGGCGGCGGCGGAGTTGATTTACCTGCTCTAGGGTTTAAAGTATGAGACTATTATACCCCTGTTCTTCTGGGTTAATTACAGTATTGCCTTCACGTTCTCCCTCCGTCCGACGGTGAAACGTGAGGTCAATCATGTCCAGATAGAAAATAGAGTTACATATAATTCATTTTAGGATATGTTTCTATATCATTCTAATGAGAATGGTGGTTAAAATCACATTTTAAAGTACAGAATATGGTCGAGATAAATCAGGAAAATACATTATTCGTGTGCAACAAGGTGAAGAGGGGAAATCAGGTTAGAGCAGGTACAATAGCAGGCTATAAGCCAACTATAAACATATTTTAAAGAGATAAAGGAAGAGAGAGAAGAGCAGCGGGCTACAGATCTGTAGCCAGCTGCAGCACGGACTACAAGACGTAATGTGTGTATGACAGATGGGACCAGATATTAATAGTATAGTAAGCAACTGTTGTATGAATTGTCTATTACATTAATTATAGATGGTTTGGAGCTAGCAGTGGGCTATACTATTAAACTTGCTCTTATTGTCTTGTAGATTGGCACAAAACAAAATGGCAAGGGAAATTATTGCCAACTTACATCACACAAAGACCAATCATACATCATATATCATCACACATGATGTTAATATTTTAAAACCCACATAATCATGTGGACAAAGGTATAAAAGGAGTAGCTTCTAGTAAATAGTTTTGATTTGACTTACATACACTTGAAAAACACATGTAAAAAAGACATTCACATATTTAAGCAATAAAACACACGTCGTATTATATGTCTTTTCTACATATAAGTTAGGATATCCAACCGCAACGCCATGGTTCATAAGTTTTAAAAGATAGTACAATTGTATAAACACAAACCAACCACATATTTTTTTAGCCTCTAGGAACAAAAGGAGTTGCTTCTAACCAAATATCAATTCTACGATGAGTTGTGATCCCGTTTGCTTCGGTCATATCCAGTTTATTAGAGTATGATCTGGTTGGCAACCTCCAGCTGGAATGATAAAGAAGGCTCGCAAGTGTGAGCTCAATATCAGAAAGTTCAAACATCAAACCAAGACAAATCCTACGACCGGCACCACAAGGAAGAAACCTGAAGTCTAAACCATTGAAATCGACTATGCCCATCCTCGAATATTTCAGGCCTGAACTCACTTGCATCAATCCAGTGTTTTTTATTTTCTACCAAGTGCCCATGTGTTCACAAATATTGCTGTGTTCTTGAGGTATGTCATAACCCATGATTTTACAAGGTTCAGACCATAACCTTGGAAGAAGCAATGGCACAGGAGGATGCAATCTTAGAGTCTCTTGTTCACCATTTGAAAGTAATGAAGTTGCCCTTCGATGTCTGCCTCTTCGACAATGCTTTTGCCTCCAAGGATTTTTCGTATATCTGATTGCGCTTTCTCCACTGCATGTGGATTTTTGATAAACTCTCATATAGCCCATATAGTTGCTGTGGTTGTGGTTTCAAGCCCGCAGAAAAAAAAATCCAAATCATGATATATATAACACATGTGTGATGCTAAAACTTTAATCCTGGCACTACCTGCCTATATTTAATCTTATCTTACTATATGGACATTTAAAAAAAATCCTCTCCTTCAAAGAAAAAACTCGTCTTTTGCCTGATTTATATTCATGCGGACTACTACATCCATCCCATAAAAATCAATCTAAAATATGATGTAATGTTTTCTAGTACAATAAGTTTTGACATGGAACATATCTAAAATTATTTATTAGAATATCGGTTTTTCATGGGACGGAGGGAGGACGATATAGATATAGATGGGGGTACAAGAGAGTGACACGTACGAAAAAGGTCGTGCAGATAACCTCCGTAGTATGGGTTGTCTCTATGCTCCCATCTCTGAAGACGCAGCAGGACAACGAGAAGATACTCTTTCTCTCGCGCCGCCACCGTCCGCGTCGTCACCGGCAGCCGCCCCGCCCTTGCTCTACATGTCCACGACGTGGTCCTGGATCATGGCGCCCAAGATGGAGTGAATTCGTGCGTGCGTGCGCCTCTCTCGCCGCTCGCATGGACCGGCTGCTGAGCACCTTTCGCCAGCCGCGACGCTATTATGTATCGGTTTATTAGTTACTCGGAGTATTCCTTTGCGTGTAGTTTATACACAGATGTACCAGCTGTTTCAGATGAGCAGCTAAATTATCAGTTTCTCATTTGTCAAGCAGGACCGGGCCTAAGGGGAAATCCAGATGGAAGAACGGCCCATCAATACTCGTGATGGGCCAGTAGGAAGCATCAGAGGAGACCACGACAAGGCCGCGTGATCCCGGCCCGGAGCACGGCCGCGTCGACTCAAGCCCATCGTCCACGATCTCATGGGCCGCAAGTCCAACACTTGGACGTATTAACAGTGCCTAACTATAGCTACTACTAGTACGGGATTATTATTATTATTATTATTTTTGGGTGTAGCTATATTTATGGCGCCATATTTTTCATCAAAAAATAGTCAGCATGTATTTATACTGTAAGTCCGTAAATTACATATGTAATTTTAGTGTATTTACAATGTAAGTATCAAAATTACATATGTAAGTACTAAAATTACATATGTAAATTCGAAAATTACATACTAATTACATATGTAAGTGGGGTGTAAACGAGGTGTAACTACTGTGTAAGTGGCTGAAAAAAATCGATTGTAACATATGGCGCCATATTTCTAGCAACTCCGTTATTTTTTGGATTTTGCACCCCCGTTCGATTGGTTGTTTAGGCCATTCCCAACCCAATGACTAGGATGGTGTCCATAGCATTAAATAAGCTGACACTTAGGATAAAAAATGATGTTGCAAGTGAATAAATGAGGAAAGAGAAGGAAACTATGTTTTGCACGAGACATAGTTTCTACACTACATCCAAGACATTATGTGATATTAGCATTAAATTTAAGTATGAAATAGTGGTGTTTGCACGAGAACAAGTTAACGAAACCATGAAAACTACACAAAAATTGCCGCTCTCTCTGACTCTCTGAGCATGGAGACGTGCTTAATTACAACAAGAGCTTAAGATCTCTCGTGTCAAAGCTCAATGCAAAAAGTGAAATAGCTAGTTTTCTTAGACAATGCGACGCAAAACGGAAAAATCAAATAAGTGTTGTAAAGTTGGTTTCCACAAATCAGACAGAAGAAACATCAAAGTCTCGAATCCATCAGCTCATTGTAGCCACCACATTTATAATTCCTAATTAACTCATACTTATCCTCCATTTATAATAGAAGAAAACTAATTAAATAAATATATATGGACAATATTATTTTATTCATAGACCAAACACTTGACACTGTATATCTGCATATTGGTGGACCAACCCAATCGTGCATAGGAAGGAGTAGCTTTGAGTAAAAGGTCAGATCTACGACGTGTAGTGAGCCCATAGGTTTCTCTCATATCTAGCTCATGTGTGTCTGTTTCACTAGGCAACTTCCAATCAAAATGGTATAGAAGGGTTACAAGTGCTATCTCAATATTGGATACTCCAAATGTTAAACCTGGGCGCATCCTTCGACCAGAACCACCAGGAATAAACCTAAAATCCGTACCACTAAAATCAACAATATCATCTTTAAATCGTTCAGGCCTAAACTCATTTACATCTTTCCAAATCTTCTCATCTCTTCCAATAGCTGATACATTCACCAGCACCGAAGTACCTTGAGGTATATCATACCCCATAATCTTACTATTCGGTTTAGAGCATAATCTGGGTATAACAATTGGCACCGGAGGATGCAGCCTAAGAGTTTCTTTGATAACCAGCTGCAGATAGTGGAGTCGGCCTTCAATGTCCGCCTCACTAACCATGGCTTTACCTTGAAGGACTTGCCGAATCTCATACTTTGCTTGCTCCATCACATGAGGACTCCTCATAAGTTCGGACATGGCCCAGAGTATGGTTGTTGACGTAGTCTCCGAGCCGCCAGCAAAAAGATCCTAACGATTAAATTAATACATTCCGTAAGCTTTGTACGATATATACAATTATTCCCCCAAAGATGATACATAAGACTATAACAGAACATGCCAAAAGTAATTGTAGAAAAAGAGTCATGTTGGGTATAATTAAGACTGAAATTTTGAGTACTTACAAACAACACGGCGCTGACAATTTCCTTAGTGAGGGTGATTCCAAGCCCACCGTCCCTCTGAAACCGCAGCAGGACGTCGAGGATGTCCTCACACTCATGGTGTTCGTCACCAACCGTGTCCTTGATTCCATGGCCTTGGATTATGGCTTCCGTAATTTGATGGAGCTTCTCATGGACCCGCTTCGTCGTACGCAGGGATCGGCCACCGAGCACCCTCGCCAGCGGCGATCCGGGGAACAGGTCGACCAGGTTGAATCCGGCGAGGAGATCCATGGTCTTGTCTAGAGCCTCGAGGTACTCCTCCCGCTGCGGGCACCTGTCGCCGATGATAGCCCTCATGGTGACATCATTCGTCATGATCTTGACGAGCTCGCTGACGTTGACGGCCGACGACGCCGACGCCGCCGCCGCCACCGACCGAGCGAGCCTCGCCGCCTCTTCCTCGCGGACATGGCGGAAGGAGCGGACGCGCCTGGGGCTGAGCAGCTCCAGCGCGCAAAGCTTGCGGAGCTCCCGGAGGTGCTTGCCGAACGGCGCGAAGACGATGTCGATGCTCGCCGTCGGGGTGACCGCCCGGTTGGCGAACGCGACGTCGTGGGTCTTCATCACCTCCCTCGCCGCCTCCGGGGAGGACAGCACCAGCGTCCGGACATGGCCGAGGCGGAGGAGCATGACGGGGCCGTACCGCCGGGAGAGCTCCCGCATGGCGTGGTGCGGCAGGGAGCCGAGCAGGCAGTGGATGCTCCCGATGACCGGCAGCGCCCATGGCCCCGGAGGGAGGTTCACGCCGGCGTTGTGCCGGGAAAAAGCTGCCGCCGTCTTGAGCTTGAAGACGACGGCAGCGAGTAGCAGGGCGCCGCACAGCAAGGTGGTGTAGTAGGATGCAGTAGTACTGTCCATGATGCCGGCCATTATTTGCTGGTTCGATCGAGAGCTCAATCTATTGCTTGCTGCACCGTTTAGAAGTTGCAGTTGCAGCACCATATGCCTATATATAGCCTAAACCCGCGCATTCCAACGGCAAACAAGTTGAGTTTCTAGTTTATAAAATCAATTAATAAGTATTTGTTTAACGTAAATAATACTATGATTTTTCTTATTGAACAAATAGATGATTTTAAAATTTGGAGAAGCCAATATTTATTGAGGACTTATTGAAATATAGTGTGATATTATAAATTGCGAGACCCGATGTTAGTTGTAGAGGTGATGTGATAATGCACATCACCACTACTAATAGTCCCCGCGTCTTTGAATATTTGACGCCGTTGACTTTTTTAAACATGTTTGACCGTTTATCTTATTAAAAAATTTAAGTAATTATTAATTTTTTTCTTATCATTTGATTTATTGTTAAATATACTTCAACAGCGTCAAATATTTAGGGGTAGAGAGAGTATTAGTAGTGGTGACGTCTTACCTTAAAAACATAATTAAGGGTCTATAATTTTATATAGTCATGATGATACTTTGTTAATTTGCTCCTGGCGTAGCTATAGTACTTTAATTCAGATGGCGTGTCCGTCTCAACAAACAACAGTGCATGCGTTACTAGTTTCACTGTATCGATCAAAGGACGTTCGGTCTGCGGTCTGCCTATCATTGTCAGTAGAACAGCAAGATGGGCTGTTTAGATTCAGGGGTGTAAAATTTAGCGTGTCACATCGGTTATTATATAGGGTGTCGCATGGGGTGTTCGGACACTAATAAAAAAACTAATTACAGAATCCGTCAATAAACCGCGAGACGAATCTATTAGGCCTAATTAATCCGTCATTAGCAAATATTTATTGTAGCACCACATTGTCAAATCATGGCGTAATTAGGCTCAAAAGATTCGTCTCGCAAATTAGTCGCAACATGTGCAATTAGTTATTTTTTTAGCCTATATTTAATATTTTATGTAGGTGTTCAAACGTTCGATGTGATAGGGCGTAAAATTTTTATGTGGGATCTAAATAGGGCCCAAGTGCAAGCTAGTACTGCTTCACGGAATTAGCTGTGGAAGAATTTGTGGAGATTGAAGTGTTGCTGGGGAAAATTAAAATTTTTGGATGGCGCGCCAGCGTTGAAGGGGTTTATACCTTGCCGAGCTACCCTAGAGAATAGATATATCGGAGAATCGGGAGGATGCATGGTGGAAAAGTTAGGAAGTTAGGAGAAAATTAGTAGTTTGGAGAAAATGTTGATAGTTTATGTGTGTAGGAAAGTTTTTGATGTGATGTGATGTGATGGAAAGTTGAGAATTTTGGGGAAACTAAACACGGCCCCCTTTTGTCTGAATGGAGGAGAGGATATATATCAAACATATATTTTCCACGTGTCACCGTGCAAGAGAAGTCTGGAGATCACTTGGCATCTAGGAGAAATTACAACGCTTTCTTGCCACCGATCGGTCAGGCTCAGTAATCATCGAAGACATCTCATAAGAAGAGAAGAGCAGGTTGACGCACTAGACGTGGGATTGGTTGAATTAGTACTTACTGCCGGATGGTATAATTGGTGGCAACGCCGGCAACATGTACACGGGGAGATCATCCAGCGACCTTCAAGATCAGCTATGTCTATTGTGGCACTAACAAAGAACTATATATAAAGCAACAATGAAGAAAAGCTCGCAGATAAGGCAAGGATGGATGAAGCCTCCAGAGGGGAAAGTGATGGTCAATGTTGATGCAGCTTTTGATGAGGACAGGGGGTGCGGCAGCGTGTGAACGATTACAAGGGACAACACTGGTGGATTCCTAGCTGCTTCCCACAGCTATGTGCCGTACTTAGTTGATGCACCGATGGCGGATGCCTATGCTTTGAAAGAAGGGTTGATGCTTGCACAACACATAGGGTGTAATCGACTAATTATCCAATAAGACTGTATGGAGGTCGTATAGACAATGAAGGATGGAGGTTTCACGACAAATTTAGCAGCGGCCTTATATGATGATTGCTCTACAATTTGGAGCGGTTTTCAAGATATAACAATTGAGCATTGCAATAGGGAGGCGAACCAAGCAGCACATAATTTAGCAAGGAGAGCGATGCAGTCAAAGCAAAATTGTACTCCCTTCATCCACAAAAATTAGACATATTTCACATTTGAGTTTTTTTAAATAAATTATTTCTATTTGTAGTCTTTATGCATTCAAGACTTAAATGAAGAGATAAATTAAATGTTTGATTAGAACCCAAGAAGTCATCTAAATACTCATTGGTTGCATGCTTGCTTTCAGTCAATGATTTTGTAACATGTAAGATTATTTAATTTCTCCTTAATTTTGGTGACAAAAGTAAGATATGGAGAGAGTACTTGGGATGATGAGCCCAATCCTTGATTCTCTAGTACTGAACGATGTAATTATATTGAATGAATAAAGCCTGCCATATTGTTTCAAAAAAAAGGACGTTCATTCGTTCTTATCCATGTTTGGCTGCGTTTGTTGCTGAAAGAAAGAAGCAAGATTTCTCTCGTTTTAAAGCTATTATTGCATGATTAACTGAGCTCTAACTATTTCAAACTTAATAAATAAATATTTTTTAAAGCAAATTCTCTATAGAAATTTTTACAAAACACATACCGTTTAGCCCTTTGAGATTTTCCCGAAATCAGTTAAATCGCCGGCATCTTTTTTACCGCATGGATTTAATGCCATGTGATTAGGGCAAGATTAGCTAAATCCCCTCTCAACTTTCGTTCGTCATGTGCGCGGCATGCACAGGAACCGAACCGTCACTGCGGCCACGGAACCAAATATGATGATTAATTGTGTATGAAGAGAGTACTTAAAAACACGTGAATATTAAAGAATTTAAAAACACGTGAATATTAAAGAATGATCTAATATTAAATAATTAAAAGGAGTAAATTTTTAAACTTATATCGTCTCAAGTGAGTTTTTTTAACTTAGTGTACAAGTACAAGTAAGACCCAAAAAACTTATACCGCTGATCTATGCGATCTCTAAAAACAGAGGGAGGTCTCTACGAAATGGAAAGGAGGAGGACGTCTAGGTTCAGGACCTGGCTCTGGAATCACACTCGCCTATTACACTAGACCTCGTCGAACAACTGGTTGTCCTGTGGGAAGCGGTCCGGAATGTTCACTTAGGCATCGGAGAGCCAGACCAGATTACCCGGAAATTCGCAAGTAGCGGACTCTACACGACTTCCTTGGCCTACCATGCGCAATGTCAAAGAACACCGAGCACAAGTTTCAACTCCTTAATCTAGAAAGTCTGGGCACCGGGGAAATGCAAATTTCATGCTTGGCTCATCATTCAAAATAGAGTCTAGATTTCAGATCGACTTGTGACAAGGGGTTGGCAAAACAACGGATGTACATGAATTATCCTTCAGTTCTGATAGAAACAAATTTAGGCAAACATTAATTGGCAATGGTTTATTAAGAGACCAATTCTTCGTCTTCACAGCGTACATGAATTTTTTATGGACCAATCCAATTATGTGTACAAAGGAGTAGCTTTGAGTAAAAGCTCAGTTCGACGACGTGCTGTGACTCCATGCGTTTCTCTCATATCTAGCTTACATGAGCTTGCGTCATTGGGCAATTTCCAATCAAAGTGGTAAAGAAGGCTCGCGAGAGCTATCTCAATATTGGATAGTCCAAACGTTAAACCTGGGCACATTCTTCGTCCAGCACCGCCAGGAATAAATCTAAAGTCGGTACCACTAAAATCAACCATATCATCTTTAAATCTTTCGGGCCTAAACTCATTTGCGTTTTTCCAAATCTTCTCATCTCTGCCAATCGCTGATATGTTCACTAACACCATAGCACCCTGAGGTATATTATATCTCATGATCTTACTATTTGCTTCAGAGCATAACCTCGGTATGAGAAATGGTACCGGAGGATGCAACCTAAGAGTCTCTCTTATAACCAGTTGTAGATAATGGAGTCGGCCTTCGATGTCGGCTTCACTAACCACGGTTTTACCTTGAAGGACTTGACGAATCTCAGATTGTGCTCGCTCCATCACATGGGGAGTCCTTACGAGTTCGGACATGGCCCAAATTATTGTTGTAGATGTAGTCTCTGAGCCAGCAGCGAAAAGATCCTGATAAATTCAAATTTACACTTTCTTAAAAAAAATACTCCATAAACTTTGTAATTATGATGCATACTCCCTCTAGTGAAAAGTATTTGACGACTAAATCTTGTACTAAACATCAATCAAATAATCAAATATTCTTAGCCAGTGGGACTACAACCATATTCTCCTAGAGATATTACGTATATGATCCATTACCACATAGCACGACACAAGTAATTGTAGGAATGGAGGTTGAGCATAAGTTTGAATTTGAGTACTCCCTCCGTCCCAAAATATAAGGATTTATGGACTCTGACACGGTCTCCGAGATACTAATTTGACTAACAATATCTATAAAATAAGATATTTTAAATAAAAAAAATTACATATATGATAGTTTCTTTAATGATAAATCTAGTAACATTAATTTTACGTGATTGATCTTTTTTATTTTTTTCTATTAATGGTCAAAGTTAAAAATATTTGACTCGTTATTATGCTATAATGCTTATATTTTGGAACAGAGGGAGTACTTACAAACAACACGGCGCTGACAATTTCTTTAGTGAGGGTGATCCCAAGCCCACCGTCCCTATGAAATCGCAGCAGGACGTCAAGGATGTCCTCACACTTATGGCCATGCCCATGCATATTGTGTGTTCCTACTGTTTCTTGTATGGTGTCATCACCAACGCTGCCGTCCTTGATGATTTCATGTCCTTGGATTATCGTATCCGTGATTTGATGGAGCTTCTGATGCACCCGCTTCGTTGCACGCAGGGATCGGGCACCGAGCACCCTCGCCAGCCGCGATCCGGGGAACAGATCGATCAGGTTGAATCCATTCATGAGATCCATGGTCTTGTCTAGAGCCTCGAGATACTCATCCCGCTGCGGGCACGTGTCGCCGATGATTGCCGTCATGATGATGTTGTTCGCCATGATCTTAACCAGCTCGCTGACGTTGACGACGGCCGGCGCCGCCGCTGCCACCGACCGAGCGAGCCTCGCCGCCTCTTCGTCCCGGACATGGCGGAAGGAGCGGACGCGCCTGGGGCTGAGCAGCTCCAGCGTGCACAGCTTGCGGAGCTCCCGGAGGTGCTTGCTGAACGGCGCGAAGACGATGTCGCGGGCGCCGTAGGTGAGGATGCTCGCCGTCGGGGTGACCGCCCGGGTGGCGAACGCGGCGTCGTGGGTCTTCATCACCTCCCTCGCCGCCTCCGGGGAGGACAGCACCAGCGTCCGGACATGGCCGAGGCGGAGGAGCATGACGGGGCCGTACCGCCGGGAGAGCTCCCGCATGGCGTGGTGCGGCAGGGAGCCGAGCAGGCAGTGGATACTCCCGATGACCGGCAGCGCCCATGGCCCCGGAGGGAGGTTCACGCCGGCGTTGTGCCGGGAAGAGGTCGCCGTCTTGAGCTTGAAGACGACGAGGGTGAGGAGTAGGCACAGCAAGGTGCAGAATGCTGCTGTATCCACTATTCCGGCCATTTTTATCATCTTTATTGTTTGTGAGCTCGATCTGTGCTGCATATATATATAGTTGGAAGTTGCAGTGGCTATAGATATATATCGATCTATATACACGTACTAGCTAGTACTCTGAATTTTCCCCCGGTGAAAAATAATTTCGGAGCAATGTCTTCTTCTTTTTTTTTTTACAGAAAGTTTGATAGCTATGTCGTACGATTTATAATTCTATATGGTCCTCGTGATACTTGCTTTGCTACTAGTTTAATCCAGACGTGTTTGTCTTGCTCTCAACAAACAACAGTGTACATGCATGTTAGGGTCACTGACTCACAGTATCAAGCACAAAAGCACGTTCGTTCTTAATTATCAGTGATTTGGGTCCATTATTGCGTTAATCGACCTAACTTGTGCTTACAATAATACAATTACTATGCAATAGTTGACATATCATTTTCTGCACATAGTATCTATGTTTCTCTTTCAAGTATGGATTCATCCGACAGGCTACGACAATTATTGTTGGTATGGATCAATCCAAGATAAGGGATGGAGCAATATATAATGATATCTACAATAGTACAAAAACGATTTTCCTGTGTACATGAACCTTTTTAGATTGCAGATAGACCATAACAGGTCACGTCTACGAAAATCGTCATCCATTTTGTGTGCGGCTCTTTAATAGAACCGCACGGAAAAATCGATTTTTGCGTGCAATCCTCTTAAATGGACCGCATGTGAAAATAAGATTATTTTCGCAGAGGTCCGCACGCAAAAATACCTCTACCTCTTTTCCCTCTCATTCACTTTAAATTTTTCACCTCTCTCCCTTTTATTTCCACTCATCTCTCTCTCCTCTCCTCTCTGTCCCTTTCTCTCCTCTCCTCTCCGCGGCTCGGTGGCGACACCGACGAGGTGGCGCCGGGACTGGCGGTGAGCGGCTCAGCGGCCGCTCGGGCGTGGCGGCGAGCGAGGCAGGAGGCGGCGGTCGGCGTGCTCGCGTCGGCGGGCGCATGCGGAAGGTGGCGAGGGGCAACGGCGATCGGCCCCCGCTCGGATCCGGCGGCGACGGCCATCCCCCGCCCAGATCCGCGTGGATCCAGCGGCGGTGGCGGCCGGCGCAGCGCTGGCAGCGGCCTGCGGGCGGTGGGGAGGAGGCGTGGCGAGGACGACGGTGACCGCGAGGAGGTGATGGCGACGACGACAGCTTTAGGGTTAGGTTTTGTTTTTTTTGGATTTTATTTTTGCGTGCGGGCGACCTAACCACCCTGCACGCGAAAATCAGTTTTCGCATTCGGGTGCGCCACCCGCACACAAAAATAGCAATTTTTGCAAACACCTGGGTGCGTGAAGTTCACACCCCCCTCCCCCCCCCGCACGCTAAACCCTTTTTGACCGCACGAAAAACTCCTTTTCGTAGTAGTGCTAGCTACTACAAGAATCCGTATTTTTTTTTGCCAACTAATTTCTTTGGCGGTAAAAAAAAACAACCGCCAAATTTAAATATATTCTTGCGTTTGTTGCGTTTGATTTCTAGCACTGCATGCGTTTGATTTCTAGATCATGGTCTAGACTCTAGACAAGGGTTCAAAATTTTGAATTGAGTTTTCCAAAATTTTGGGTTTATCGGACCCTGCGATAAGAAATGATTTCGGCCAAATGTTTTTTTGGGGTTTTCAAATTTTTAGACTTTGAAAAAAATTTGTTCATCAAATTTGATCAAATTTTGTTAAAAAAATAAAACTATTTCGGACCGATAGAAATAGTGAAAACGAAAATATAAACCCTGGAGTAGACTCATGTTGTAGCACCCATTAGCTACGACCCATGCAATCACTTATATGCATGCACATCCAACTGCTGACAAAACTACAAAAGGTTCAGTAAAAGATAAAACTGCATGTCAAAATGGCCACGGCCGGAGCTAACACACTATGTACCTATATGATTGATTTACACTGGTTTAACGTGTGTTATACAACTCATCTCTATGCACTTATTGAAAATGATGATGGTGATGCATAACTAAATGGGTCCTATAGTCATAATGTTACGGATGATGACGCCTCTTTATTTTCCCTCAAAAAAGATGATACCTTTCTATAGTACATCCACATGATAATGACATTGTTCGACTGCGATTTTTTGCAGCAGTTGCTGCAGCCGCATGCCTAGTTTCTGTGGCTGTGGCACATAATCGTGGCTACTAGCAAGAGTGGTCGATATTTCTAGTCGTAGCCATGCATGCATGCATGGCCAGAAAAATAACAGTCGAAAAAACACAATGTATGACTTATTATAACGGGTTACAAAATACCAAGTGCTAATTAAAGTTCTTTCTTAAAACACAAGTAGAGCTAGCTAGCTCCTAGTAGAAATATCAAGAAATCCAACAATCCAGGCTGTGGCAACGATGGGAGTTGCCTTTAGCCAAAAAGATCAGTAAGCCGAGAAGCTGTCAACCCAGCGGACTCAGTCATATCCAACTCCATTCGGTTTTCACTACATGGCAATTCCCAATCGAAATGGTATAGAAGGTTTGCGAGTGCAATCTCGATGTTAAATTGTGCAAATATGAAATCTGGGAACATCCTTCGACCAAAACCACCTGAAAGAAACTGAAAATATGTACCATTATAATCGGTATCGTCATGTTCAAACCTCTCAGGTCAAAAATCCTCCGCATCTTCCCAGCATCGCTCATCCCTACTAATCGCCCAATTATTTACAATGACTATCGTTCCTTTGGGTACATCAAATCCCATTATCTTGCATGTTTCGGTACATAACCTTGGGAAAAGCAAAGGGAATGGAAGGTGCAATCTTAACGTTTCTTTGATGACCAATTGCATGTAATATTGAAGGGACCCTCCAATATGTATGCCTCATCCACCTTGTTTCTACCTTGCATTGCGCGAGGGCACCTCAATAGCTCGGACATAGCCCACATAACAGTTGTAGTTGTTGTATCAGAGCCGCCAGCCAAGATACCCTAAAATTATAGATATGAGATGGTATCTACACAGGACTTTACAAAACTAGACTAGCTAGAAGTTATTATCTGGTACTATTAAATCATATTACATTATTTTGTTACAACATTAAGAAGTCAAATTTGAATTTGTATATATACTTGTGAGGTGATATATCAAATATCAAACTATCTTTGCTTTTTTTTATAACTATTTAACTAGCATGAAAAAAAGGACGTTCCCGCAAAATACAAAAAGAGTGAGACAAACCTTTCGCGGGTGACATTGACAAATGAGCTAGAGTGAGATGGTAACATGCTTAATTAATTACAAACACTGTCGCGCTGATGGTTTCCGTTTGTGAGAGTGATCCCTAACCCACCATCCCTCTGAAACCTCAGTAGGATGCTAAGGAGCTCTTCATCCCTATCGGCGCCGTCGCCGTCGCCGTCGTCGACGACGCCATCTGCGACTTCCTCTCTGCGCTCCTCCATCGCCTTCAGATGGTCCTGGACCATGGCGTCCATGATGCTGTGGATCTTCCCGTGGGCCGCTTGCGCTGCCCGCACGAGCCGCGACTCCGGGAACAGGTCGACCAGGTTGAAGCCGGCGGCGAGCTTCGCCACCTTGCCCAGCTCCTCCAGGTACTCCTCCTGCCGCGGGCACCGGCCGCGCGCCGACGGCGGTCATCATGGCCGCGACATGCTCGCCGCCGACGACGTTCACGAGCGGCCACGCCGGGGACGCGGCGACGGCGCGCACGAGCCTCGCCGGCTCGGCCTCGCGGACGCGGCGGAAGGAGCGGGCGCGCCTTGGGCTGAGCAACTCGACGGCGCAGGCAGGGCGTGGTGCGGCAGCGAGCCGAGCAGTCAGTGCATGCTGCCGATGACCGGGAGTGGCCATGGGACCGGAGGGAGGATAGTGTTCTCACGGGAGAAGAAGGCCTTCGTCCTGAGCTTGAGCTTGACGAAATGTCACTTTCAATTATAGATTTCTTATATTTTAGGACGGAAGGAATATATATTTAGAGTTTTAGATGGACTAAGAGATAAGAGAGTGATCATGAAACGGGAAACTCTTATAATCTATCAGGAAGGTATTTCTCGTTTCTTATATATATACTAGTTTATTAAAAGTTTAAAAATAAAATAGCAAGATAGATTAATATTTTTTCCTAAAAAAAGATAGATTAATATTTTATGTGTCACTTCACAAAATATGCAAATTTAAATATGACTTTTACAGTATTAAGAAAATAACTATTAGCAAATATATGTGAGTTAGAGTTTAATTACTTTTTGTTTTTCTATAATTTATGATGATCAAATTTGAAGGCACATATTTATAGATTGATATATCATATATTAAAGTTTATAAGTATTTAGATGGTATGAAAAATAAGGGGATATCTATTCCTGAGTGGACCAGAGTACATATCCTCAGGGTCAGGGAGTCAGAGACAAAAATAAAAATCCAGCAACAACTTGTCCACTTGTACGAGATCCAATTAAGCTGCCGAAGTGCCGAGTGTCAACCTGCTGTGATAGATCACCAATCACGGCTAGTTACTTGACTGGTCTTTGAATTGTCGACAGCGACCTACAGAGTACTCCCTCGTCCCACGAAAAACCAACCTATAAGGGGATGTGGCTCCTCCTAGGTTGGCTTTTTTTACGGAGGGATTAGATAATAAGCCGCCACAACAAAAGTGTTGAGCAAAACAAACACTACTACGGGTGTGTTCGGAACACCAAGTTCCCAACTCCCTTGCTTCGTTTTCCGCACGCACGCTTTTCAAACTGTTAAATAATGTGTTTTTTGCAAAAAAAAAAGTTTCTATACGAAAGTTGCTTAAAAAAATCATAGTGATCCATTTTCGAAAAATTAGCAAATACTTAATTAATCACGTGCTAATGGACCGCTCTGTTTTCCATACGGACTATTTGGGATGGGAACCGGCATATGCGAACACAGCCGTAAGGATTCAAGATCATCATGATACCTAGAGTTACAGTGAGAAGAATATACATATGTAGATCACCTGTATGAGGGAGACGGCCGTGTCCGCTGCTGCCGTGGCGAGCTGGCTGGCCTCACGCTGCG